CAGCTAGCACTGTAGTAAATGATAACTTTCACACGTTAATCTTCCATCTGTGGGTTCGGGGTGGGGGTGTGTGCTTCATTATGGGGGAAAATAAGAATAAACACATTGCTTTCCCAACAAGCATGTCGTAGGAGTCGACTAACTCGGGGGGGGGGGAGGAGGGGTGCGCACATCCTTTAAAGTCGGAGTACAGCTGTGGGAGAGACAAGGAACCAAAAGTCTGCGTACAGATGCGCCAGATCTGTAGAGCGGATGTGCACGCAACACATCTTTCCTGGAACAAGACTAAAGCCATAGGTAGTCGAACAACGAGAACTTTCCGCCGGAGTTTACAGACCGTGAACGCGAAGAAGAAGAAGTAGCTGGGCACAACGCATTTCTATCTTCTGGTCGCAGAAATGAGGCGTCCTTGGATTAGGCCTTGCGAGTATGACTCGTGATTCCAACCTACCGCGATCGAAACCCACTGCTGACTGTGTGGATTTTTATTATGGTATGGGGTGTTGCTGGTCGACCCAGCTTAAAATTGGTACCAGGATGTATGTCCTGGTGAAGCAAAGACGGCCGGCTTAATGCTGACTACATTACCCACCTAGTGCCGATTGGACTGTAAAAAAATTGGGGTGCTCTTCTCATATGTACGATGAGCTTAAAGGCGTGAAAAGGGATCTTTACTTTTTTACTTTACGATGATCGCAGAAGAAGAAAAAAGAAGGTAGAAGAGCTTTCGATGCTGGTCGGACTTTTCAGCAAGTCCTTGTATCTATGAGACTCTCCAGGGACATTCACTAGGGTGGTCCATTGATCTCTTGGTTGCTCCGATATCATGACCGTACCAACCAGCCTGCCCGATTGCCCATTCATGAATTAGGGATACTTTCTCTGTTGGTGTTTCACGCACAAGAAAGCAGCGAAACCGGTAGGACCCGCAACAGAACACTATAGAATTGCGGGACAGCGGTTTTTGATTAGTTCGGTCGCCTTTTGGGAAATACCCCTGTAGTTAGTTGAGAGAGAGACAGAGAGAGAGAGAAAGAGAGAGAGAGAGAGAGAGAGAGAGAGAGAGAGAGAGAGAGAGAGAGAGAGAGAGAGAGAGAGAGAGAGAGAGAGAGAGAGAGAGATGTTCTGTTTCTGTTCCAGCGAAGACCACATGCAATGTCCATCACTGTCCCATGTGGAAAAAGTGACAAAGACTGCAGTCTCCGCAATACCAGTGGCAGACCCACGCATCAAGTGCATAAGGCTGCCGTCAGAAGTGCCAGCACAAACTGTCTAACACTAGATTTGCAGTTCATCGAGAATGGAAGCAGCAGTTACAACAGATCCGTAATTGCACACGCAGTTATTCGTATAAGGCACTACCAGTTCTCATGCAACAGGCCACTCGCCATTTCTGAATCTGCAGTTGACAACGCAAACAACGTTGAGCACAGTCGAAAGGCATTCCAAAAGAAATCCGCAGCTCACAGTGTCGCGACGTGCATTTAGTCCAGTAGCTGGATGATTGTTAGAGATTATGTCTTCTACCTTTGCCCTTTACCACCCAGTAGAGCATAGCCCCTCATTCCATCTCATGCCAGTTTGTTCTTTTGCTATCTCATACAAAATGTGTCTTCCCAACCCTTTTTAACTTCTTGCGCGGGCTCCGTGTGTTTCCCCTGGTCGTCTGCCTGGTTTTGTCATGAGTGACTTTGTATTATTACTGTGCCCGTCTAACCAACACGTCGTCCCTTTAACTGGCTGTCCGATCGACCGTTTACTCTAGTCGTCCTAGCTGTATCTAAAAACGTCCTAGCTGTATCTAAAAACGTCCTAGCTGTATCTAAAAACGTCCTAGCTGTATCTAAAAACGCCCTAGCTGTATCTAAAAACGTCCTAGCTGTATCTAAAAACGCCCTAGCTGTATATAAAAACGTCCTAGCTGTATCTAAAAACGTCCTAGCTGTATCTAAAAACGTCCTAGCTGTATCTAAAAACGTCCTAGCTGTATCTAAAAACATCCCAGCTTCAGAGACAAGATGCTGTTTACGAGCCAGTCTTCCTTGATGTTTATGTAGTCCGTAGTTCTCTTCTTCTATTCTTCTTCTTCTTTTCTTCCACCTTTTACCTCATCAAAGTGTCAGGGGAGAGATGTAATGTACGTTGATGAGCTCTGTCAAGAGCACTATTAAGACTGAAGTTCATTTCTGTAAGGCTGTTCTTAATGCCATCACTCCATATTTTCCGAGGTCTTCCACTCGCTCTGTACCCGTTGTAACATTTTAGTGTGGCTCCCTGTGGTGGATAGTACCAGGGCATTTTTGTTAGGTGTCCAAACCACTTCATTTGTTGTTCTTTGATGACCTGCAAGACTGGCTTTATTCCTAGTAGCATTCGTCTGATTTCATGATTTCGTATTCTGTCTTTTCTTGAGACTCCTGCAGCTTTTCTAAGGCATTTTATCTCTGTTGTATATTTTACGTTCATTGGAGGATGTAAGTGTCCGCGTTCTCTTCTTCTCTGTCCGCGGTATTCTGATAAACTTTCGATAGCATTAAAGCTCAGAAGCCATTTATTGCTGTAAAAGTAAGAGAAGAATTTTCCCACACCATCAAGCGTATTGGACATATATAAATAAACCTTTATTTTATAGACCATTCTGCACTCGCTTGGGTGATATGACCACCACCACGCCAGCCGCCTTTACTTACCGAGACCTGGTACCCATTTTTAAGATTGGGTCGACCCGTAAACCAAGGTCATTTTTGAAAAAAAAATTTAGCACATTTCGGATTTAAACCAGCGACCTTCGAATACACAGGCCGGCGTCTAGCCACAGCACCACGACGGCTCGCCATTGATTTCTGCAGCCTTCTATTGTAATCCCATTTTCGGGATCTGCACTGTTTGTTGAGTCACGTACTCCACACTGACCAGTCTGTGGTGTTTGTGTAGGCAGGTTCTAGAAGTTCACTGTGGAGCCACCAAGACATGCGAAGTTTGTACGCACGTGCTGTCCGACTTGTGACCTCTCGTTGACCTCGGGGGTCACAGTCTCAACCTTAGTGCCCTTGTCGGGAATTGCCAGGTCAGCTGTTTTTCTCTGTCTGTCAGAAGATTCTTTGTTTCTCCATCTAAATCTCTCTCTCTCTCCCTCTCTCTTTCTGTCTCTCTGTCTGTCTCTCTCTCTCTCTCTCTCTCTCTCTCTTTCTGTCTCTCTCTCTCTCTCCCTGTATCCCATTCACTGACTGACTGATTCACAATCATGGACTGACTCAATCACTGACTCCCTCCCTCAACAACGGACTGTCTGACTCACTCCCTCACTGACAGATTCACACAATCATGGACTGACTCAATCACTGACTGATTGACTGTCTGTCTGACGTTCATTTTCTGCCTCTATAGGTCGCCCTCTCTCTCCCCTTGCTGTCACACACACACACACACACATACACACACACACACACACACACACACACACACACACTGTCTCCCTCTATAACCGTGTCCCTTCTTCCCTTGCTGTCACACACACTGTCTCCCTCTGTCACCCTGTCCCTCTCTCTTGCTGTCACACATACACTGTCTCCCTCTATCACCCTGTCCCTCTCCCTTGCTGTCACACATACACACACTGTCTACCTCTATCACCCTCTCCCTTGCTGTCACACACACACTGTCTCCCTCTATCATCCTGTCCCTCTTCCCTTGCTGTCACACACACACACACACACACACACACACACACACACACATCACCCTGTCCCTCTCGCCTTGCTGTCATACCCACTCTTTCTCTCCCCCTCTCTCTCACTAGTCTTGAGCTGAGATTCTGTGCCAGGCTTACGTTGACCGCCGTTATGCAAGCGCCCGTGACCCCCCCCCCCCCCATGAGTGGTTTGTTTGCTTGCTCCTTCTGCTGGCCGGGCGGCGCCAGTTTGTGTTGAGGCCAGAGCGAGGCGACACCGCCTGTACACGGTGACAGATATTCGGGCGGGCCGACTTCTGGGTGCGGGCATGTTGCAATTGTGGGAGGTGATGTAAGGGTGGCGGTGATGTAAGGTTGGCGGTGATGTAAGGTTGTCGGTGATGTAAGTATAGCGATGATGTAATTGTGGCGGTGATGTAATGGTTTCAGTGATGTAATTGTGGGGCGATGTAAGTGCAATGGTGATGTAAGGGTGGCGGTGATGTAAGGTTGGCGGTGATGTAAGGTTGTCGGTGATGTAAGTATGGTGGTGATGAAAGGATATCGGTGATGTAATTGTGGCGGTGATGTAATCGTGGCAGTGATGTAATTGTGGGGTGATGTAAGTGCGATGGTGATGTAATGGTGGCGGTGATGTAATGGTGGCGGTGATGTAATGGTGGTGGTGATGTAATGGTGGTGGTGATGTAAGGGTGGCGTGATACAAGGGTGGCAGTGATGAAAGGGCGGCAGTGATATAAGGTGGTGATGTAAGTGTGACAGTGATGGAAGGATAGTGGTAATGCAAGGGTGGCGGTGATGTAAGTGTTATGGTGATGTAAGTGTTATGGTGATGTAAGTGCGATGGTGATGTAAGGGTAGCGGTGATGTAAGTGTGACGGCGATGGAAGGATAGTGGTGATGCAAGGGTGGCAGTAATGTAAATGTTATGCTGATGTAAGTGCGATGGTGATGTGAGGGTAGCAACAATGTATTACAATGTAATACCCACATCAAACAGTGGTTGATTGGATACTTTGACTGAGACTGTTCCATGGTGCATTACCCAACACACTGCAAAAACACACACAAATGTCTTTCCCAGTGGCCATTAGCCATCCAACTGGTAAATTCCTCCAACACACCCAGTGATACTTGATCCACTTTCAACTTGATGTGACCGCTCTAACACCTAATTGTTATGATGGTGGTGGTTGTGATGATGATGATGATGATGATGACGATTTGAAGAAAAAGAAGAGAAAAAAAAAAGAAGACAAGAAGCAATATAACTATGGTGGCAAACTGTTGATGATTTCTGTTTTTACAGATAAAAAAGTTTGAGAAGTTGGAGACAGATGAGGAAAGAATCAAGGAGGGCAGACAGATTTATGATACATACATCATGAAGGAGTTGTTGTCACAGTCTCATGTAAGTGATTTCTGAAGTGTCTTGTCTTGTCTCATCTGTGGTGGTAGGAAAACATCCTTCTCTTTATTGTAAATGGTTTTCTGGAAACTAATGTATACTATATGTTTTTCTAATTTTTTTTTTAAATTTTCGATCACATCTCCCCCTGGTGTATGGGGATTCCAGTGCACATGTAAACACTTCAAATGCCTCAGTAGCATGGTCCTTATTAAAAATGCATATAGTCGGGGCAAACTTACCAGTAGTGGAAAGCAGTCTTTGGCAAGAAACCACCTGACAACCTATTTTGTGGGTGAGTTCTGATCGGGGTTGATCGCATTAAAAAAACACAATGAGCATATTGTCATAACAAAAGCAAGCAAAGGCCTGTCAGCAGTGAGGGTCCTGGCCACCCCTAATATTGAGCAGAGACTGCTTCTGTGTCTATTCCAGGACTTGTTCTTTCTTCCTTTGAATATGCCTTAGCCATTCTTACTGTCAGCCATACTGAGACTAAAAGACTTGAAAAGATGCAAAACGAGGCCATAATCATTATTCTGGGGTATGCACAAGTCACTTCTTGTGTAGCAGTGAGACACCTTCTTGAATTTCTGATCAGGTCTTCAATCTCACAGACAGCCAACCTGGCAAAGGAATGGATACTTATGGCATCAAGCCCTCAGTTGCAACTTTTCTTATGCAGCAAGTAAATAGTTCCAGTAGCATATCACAGCTGTAACAGACAGTAACAGATAATAGTCAAACAAGTAAATAGTTCCAGTAGCATATCACAGCTGTAACAGACAGTAACAGATAATAGTCAAACAAGTAAATAGTTCTAGTAGCATATCACAGCTGTAACAGACAGTAGCAGATAATAGTCAAACAAGTAAATAGTTCCAGTAGCATATCACAGCTGTAACAGACAGTAAGATATAATAGTCAAACAGGTAAATAGTTCCAGTAGCATATCACAGCTGTAACAGACAGTAACAGATAATAGTCAAACAGGTAAATAGTTCCAGTAGCATATCACAGCTGTAACAGACAGTAGCAGATAATAGTCAAACAAGTAAATAGTTCCAGTAGCATATCACAGCTGTAACAGACAGTAGCAGATAATAGTCAAACAAGTAAATAGTTCCAGTAGCATATCACAGCTGTAACAGACAGTAGCAGATAATAGTCAAACAAGTAAATAGTTCCAGTAGCATATCACAGCTGTAACAGACAGTAACAGATATAATAGTCAAACAGGTAAATAGTTCCAGTAGCATATCACAGCTGTAACAGACAGTAGCAGATAATAGTCAAACAAGTAAATAGTTTCAGTAGCATATCACAGCTGTAACAGATAATAGTCAAACAAGTAAATAGTTCCAGTAGCATATCACAGCTGTAACAGACTGTAACAGATAATAGTCAAACAGGTAAATAGTTCTAGTAGCATATCACAGCTGTAACAGACTGTAACAGATAATAGTCAAACAAGTAAATAGTTCCAGTAGCATATCACAGCTGTAACAGACAGTAACAGATAATAGTCAAACAAGTAAATAGTTCCAGTAGCATATCACAGCTGTAACAGACAGTAACAGGTATAATAGTCAAACAAGTAAATAGTTCCAGTAGCATATCACAGCTGTAACAGATAATAGTCAAACAAGTAAATAGTTCCAGTAGCATATCACAGCTGTAACAGACAGTAACAGATAATAGTCAAACAGGTAAATAGTTCCAGTAGCATATCACAGCTGTAACAGACTGTAACAGATAATAGTCAAACAAGTAAATAGTTCCAGTAGCATATCACAGCTGTAACAGACAGTAACAGATATAATAGTCAAACAGGTAAATAGTTCCAGTAGCATATCACAGCTGTAACAGACTGTAACAGATAATAGTCAAACAGGTAAATAGTTCCAGTAGCATATCACAGCTGTAACAGATAATAGTCAAACAAGTAAATAGTTCCAGTAGCATATCACAGCTGTAACAGACAGTAACAGATAATAGTCAAACAGGTAAATAGTTCCAGTAGCATATCACAGCTGTAACAGACTGTAACAGATAATAATCAAACAGGTAAATAGTTCCAGTAGCATATCAAAGCTGTAACAGATAATAGTCAAACAAGTAAATAGTTCCAGTAGCATATCACAGCTGTAACAGACAGTAACAGATAATAGTCAAACAAGTAAATAGTTCCAGTAGCATATCACAGCTGTAACAGACAGTAACAGATAATAGTCAAACAAGTAAATAGTTCCAGTAGCATATCACAGCTGTAACAGATAATAGTCAAACAGGTAAATAGTTCTAGTAGCATATCACAGCTGTAACAGACAGTAACAGATAATAGTCAAACAAGTAAATAGTTCCAGTAGCATATCACAGCTGTAACAGACAGTAAGATATAATAGTCAAACAGGTAAATAGTTCCAGTAGCATATCACAGCTGTAACAGACAGTAACAGATAATAGTCAAACATGTAAATAGTTCTAGTAGCATATCACAGCTGTAACAGACAGTAGCAGATAATAATCAAACAAGTAAATAGTTCCAGTAGCATATCACAGCTGTAACAGACAGTAACAGATAATAGTCAAACAAGTAAATAGTTCCAGTAGCATATCACAGCTGTAACAGATAATAGTCAAACAAGTAAATAGTTCCAGTAGCATATCACAGCTGTAACAGATAATAGTCAAACAGGTAAATAGTTCCAGTAGCATATCACAGCTGTAACAGACTGTAACAGATAATAGTCAAACAAGTAAATAGTTCCAGTAGCATATCACAGCTGTAACAGACTGTAACAGATAATAGTCAAACAGGTAAATAGTTCCAGTAGCATATCACAGCTGTAACAGACTGTAACAGATAATAGTCAAACAAGTAAATAGTTCCAGTAGCATATCACAGCTGTAACAGACAGTAACAGATATAATAGTCAAACAGGTAAATAGTTCCAGTAGCATATCACAGCTGTAACAGACTGTAACAGTTAATAGTCAAACAGGTAAATAGTTCCAGTAGCATATCACAGCTGTAACAGATAATAGTCAAACAAGTAAATAGTTCCAGTAGCATATCACAGCTGTAACAGACAGTAACAGATAATAGTCAAACAAAAAATAGACAAAAGTGTACCAGACAAACAAACAAAAGCAAACCTAATAAAACTCTGAAAACGACAGTAAAAAAGAAACAAAAATGTTTAAATCACAATAACAGCGGCAGCCTAAATTGGTTACCATAGAATGTCATGGGAAGTAAAGGCAGCTGATGTTGACCACATTACTATCCAGTGCTAGTTCAGCAACAAAAAAAAAAAATAAACAAAAACCACAGGTCTAGCCCTATGTGCACCAAAGACATGAAAAGGGTCCTTTACCTAACTAACAGCAGCTGTGCCTTTGTTTGCAGACATACCCAAAGTCAGCGGTGGAGTACGTGTTGGATGCTCTGACGGTGGCTCAGAGGACTCGCAAGTTAGATGCTGATATTTTTGAGGTAGGTGGGCCAGACTTTTGTTTTATTTAAAGTCACAGTAACCCTTTAAAGTAAAAATCTAGCAATTACCTCACCCCCCCCCCCCCTTTCCCTTTTCCCTTAACAAAAAAAAAAATATGAAAAAGCACAGGTCAATAATAAATAAATAAAAAAAACATGTACCTACATTTAAAAATGTTTGAAGTATATGGAAGGGAATAATCAATACAAACTAATGGAGTTGTTGAGAAGTGAAACAATTCTTTTTGCCTGGGCTAAAAAAAAAAAAATGATACTATGAATGACTCATACTGTGACCTTTGACCTGGACTACTAAAGGGACATTTTGTCATGATGTTATGACTAAAGAAAAGCTATTTGTTGCCCACAGTTAACCCCCTTTATCACCACCCCAATGCTATTTTTTTTAAAGTAAATATAATGGAATCTGGTTTGAGAGAGGCAGGGACCAGTTAGATGAAGAAAAGAGTTGAGGGAGGGGGGATTGAGAGAGGGAGGGACAGTTAGATGAAGAAAAGAGTTGAGGGAGGGGGATTGAGAGAGGGAGAGACAGTTAGATGAAGAAAAGAGTTGAGGGAGGGGGATTGAGAGAGGAGGGAGGGACCGTTAGATGAAGAAAAGAGTTGAGGGAGGGGGATTGAGAGAGGGAGAGACAGTTAGATGAAGAAAAGAGTTGAGGGAGGGACAGTGAGATGAAGAAAAGAGTTGAGGGAGGGGGAGGGAGGGACAGTGAGATAAAGAAAAGAGTTGAGGGAGGGGGAGGGAGGGACAGTTAGATAAGAAAAGAGTTGAGGAAGGGACAGTAAGATGAAGAAAAGAGTTGAGGAAGGGACAGTAAGATGAAGAAAAGAGTTGAGGGAGGGGGATTGAGAGAGGGAGGGAGCTAGTGAGTGAGAGATCATTGAGGAGGGAGAGTGGGACTTGAATGACTTTGGCATAGCTGAAGCATAACTGAGAATAGAAATGTATGGAGAGGATCCCTTGCAGCTGCACACTGTACATAAACATTGAAGGTGTTAAGATGGGGTGATGTTTGATGTCATTCAAGGACTCTCACTCAGTTGTTGAAGGCAAAATTGGGGCTTTTGAACTGAAATGCTACAGAAATATTGTTGAAATACCAAAAAAGATGAACATCAACATCCGACATGACCTGAGCCTCAAGGAGAATTGGCTCATAAACAGCATCCTGTCCCGAAAGCTGAGGTATTTGGCCGTGTTAAGCGTCATGGTGGCCTGGAGAGAATAGTGATGGAGGGCACAGTTTCGGGAAAATGAGGCAGAGGTAGACAAGGTGGAGAAGAGGGGGGGGGGGGGGGGGGGGAGGAAATGGACCCACTGCGATTTAGCAAAATATCGTAACAGGCGACTGATTATGGATGTTTCCTTCGAAAACGGAGTGCATCTGCCTGAGAGGTCAGCAGCCAGTTGTCAGCATACAAACACGCCAGATCCGAAAAACAAATATTCATGCAAAATGCAACATCTAGAAAGAAAAAAAATCCAGGAGTAGACTCACAACCACAGAACTTTCTGCCGGAGTTAACAGCTGGGGGAATGCTAAGAAGAATTTCCCACTTTTAAAACACTTTTTAAAAAAACTTTAATGACTTTCCCCACTTGTAAATATGGTGCCCACTGTGTGCTCCATGCGCCATTTTGAGGGGAGAAGGAATTGATTAGCTGCCTCCTAACAGCATGTTGTAAAAAGCGAGGAATTAGTGGGGTTAAAAAAAAAAAAGTCTGTAAAACCAAGGTGCATGCAAAACTCAAGTTCTGGAACAAGATTTTAGTCCAGAAGTGGATGAACAACCAGAACTTTTTGCCAATAAAGGCTAAAAAGGTAAAAAGAAGAATCTTTTGTGTTTGGTTTGAAAACTATTTGATGTCATACCCACTTTTAAAGCATTTTTTAATTTAAAAAATTTTTTATAGGCAAAAAAATATATATATATACAATTGCAGGTGATCCATATTGTGTGTGTTTTGCTTTCAGCCCTACATCAATGAGATCTGCAACTCTCTGCGTGGTCATATATTTGATAAATTTATAGAAAGGTAAAACACATTGTCTGTTAATCTTGTGTTGAGTTGAGAACTCTAGTGACTTGTGTAATGTTTGATGTTGATCTGGGTCAACACTGTTAGTAACTTACTGTCCCCCCTGTGGGTTACGGGGTCGACCGGGGGATAGACAAACTGCTGCTCCCTAGCATGTCCGGTACAGAACCAACACCCTGCATTGTTTGTCTGTCGGTGATTTTACTAGGCAATTTTACGTTCAGTAGAGTTTGCCTTTGCCTTCTGAATGATCAGCTCTTGATACCACTGTCGTAATCAACACAAGGCTGTCTGCTGCCACACTGGTCGCAGCTGGGATCAGACCCCGCACCCTGGGGTTACAACGGGCTTAAGCCACAGACGCTGATGCCCTCTAACAAGCATGTCGCAGCAGTAGACAAAAAAAAAGGAGTTTTTCTTCAAAGTTGGAGAGCACTTGCCTGCGAGGCAAGGAACCAGCAGTCTGCATACAAATAAGTCAGCTAAGAAGAGAAAAGAAGAGAAGAGGTCTGGGTCGACACAGTCAGTAGCTTGCTAGCTTTTTAGTGATGGTGGGTTAAAGTGGGTGGCTGGGTTTGGTATGCGGGCAGTATTACAAGAGGCATATTACAAGTACAGATACAAAGTGAAAGACCCTTTTCCATGCCTTCAGATGTATTGGGAAAATAGGGCAGGACCTTTATTTTGTAGACCAGCACTCGGCGGGTGATATGGTCAAGATTACGCCGGCAACTTTTACTTCCCATGATTATACCTGGTACCCACTCAGGGCTGGGTCGATCTGGGAGCCAGGCTGTGTCAGGACTTGAACCCCTGTCTTTCGAGCATCTATTCCAAGACAGTCACCGTTTTGGACATGATGTGAGAAAAAATGGAGTTGAAAATGTCAGCATGTTGAAGCATGTCATAAAAGTTGATAGATTAAGTGTATTCCCTTTGAGTTGGAAGCATCATCTGTGATGGACCACATATTAAGTTGCTGCAACTCCTGAATCCAGTAAATGCAGTTTTTATAATTTTGGGATCCAACAAATTAAAAGTAATTTATGAATCTAACAAATTAAGTTGCTATGATGTTGGATCCAACAAATAAGGTGGCTGTGATTTTTGGATTAAACAAATTAAGTTGCTGTAATTTTTTAGTCCAACAAATTCAAATTGCTATGATTTATGGATCCAATAATTTAACTTGTTGTGATTTACTATTTCCAGTCCACCGATGAAGGATTTTATCTAAATACTTGGATGTGTTTTTTCTTTTTTGAATGAATGTTGAAACCTAATGTACATCTTCTCTTGATTGCTTTTCATGTATTTACATCATCTTCTCTTGTTTTCTTTCTGCAGTGATAAATACACACGGTTTTGTCAGTGGAAAAATTTAGAATTAAATATAAATGTAAGTATGTGATATGTTATTTTTAAATTCTCTTATTTCAATTTGAACACAAAAAAGGAAAGTTAGAAATTGTTTGTTGGTTTGTCTGGATCAGTTTTTTCAAACTGTTATTATTGTTAGTTTGATGGAGGTAAAATTGACCGCATTCAGACCTGCAGACAATAGCTCTGGTTATGATTGTGGTTTATTTTTATTTGCCATAGTTCAGTGGTGTAAAAAAAATGTTTAAACTGCCCATAGTAGGAATCAGACCCTGGATTGTTGAGGGTTTTTATGAAATGTGTTCCCTAACCTCCAGCTCACAGAGCCACACTTAGCAGCTTTGCTGAGAAATTTGTCTGAGATTCTGTGGCTATGAACTGTACAGTGAGGGCGGGGTACTTGTCTAGACACTGAAATGAGAAACAGATTAGGGAAACAAGAATGTCCAAGAAAGAGCCCAAGACGAACTTCGATAAAAGAGGAAACCAGTGGCTGGACTGGTTTTACGTCTGTGATATCAAAACAGATTGCAAATAATGGAATGGAGAAAAAGACTGCGAGTCCTATGTGACGTATAAATGGCACCAAAAATGATGATATGTAAGGTGAGAATGATCCTTTGTAGATCAGACCACTTTCTCTTTGTCTTCTTTCTGGGTCGTGGATTAACAGATCGAAACATTGGTAACAGTATCGTCACATTGTGAGATTTATTATTTCTTACCCGTGTAGGTTCTGAGTAGAAACAAGAATAGACCCACTGCCTACCCAAAAGCATGTCGTAAGAGTCAACTAATTAAGAGATTCCTTCAAAATCAGAGTGCATCTGCCTGAGAGGCAAGGAACCAGCAGTCTGCATGCCAGTGAGTCAGATCTGTAAAATGGATGCACACGCAACACTCAGGTTCTGGAACAGGACTGCAGTCCAGAAGTGGACAAACAACCAGAACTTTCTGCCGGAGTTTATAGCTGGTGAACGCGAAGAAGATATAATTTTTTTGTGCACATTTGTGAATAAGTTGGTCTGTTCTGTTCACAGTCAGCAATGAATCAGTCAAATAGTTTTTCTTCTGTTCACAGTTAACATTACATATATTTTACTATTCCTTAATAGATAATAGTATATAAGTTAGGTATTTTATCTGTTAACAGTTCAGTTTGTTAATGTTCTTTGTTTAAGTTAACAGTGAACATGCTGTCCGTTCATAGTTAACAATGTATAAATGAATGTTTTTATCCATGAAAAAACCTAATGTTTCTGTGTTCACAGTTAACAGTGAAGTTGTTGCCTTCTCACAATCAACAGTTAACATGTTGTCTGTTCAAAGTTAACAATGAGCATATGGTTGTGTGTTAACAGTTAACACTGAAGATTTAATATTTTTGTTTAAATTTAACAGTGAACATTAAATATTTTCCTATGTTAACGTTAGCACTGAACATTTACTGTCTCATTGTTCACAGTTAACCATAAACCTTCAGTTTTTTCCTTAATGTTAACACTGAACATTGAATGTTTTTCTGTGTCCACAGTTAACAATGAACGACTTTAGTGTACATAGAATCATTGGCAGGGGAGGGTTTGGTGAGGTGTATGGCTGGAAAAATGTAGGTAGATCAGATTTATGTTTCATGGTTGCATCTCTGCTTCTTATTCTTAGGGTTCTTCTTCTTTTTTTTTTTTTTTACGTGCTCTTTTACTGCTTCAGGTGTCCAGGGAGAAATAAGGTGCTGCTTCATGCTCTGCTCTTGCTGCTTTGACCATAGACACAATGTGGTGCTGTAGAGTTTCTCTGATGTTATCTTTCCGTCTTGTTCTTGGTCTGCCTCTTGCTCTGCTTCCCTCTCCTTTTTTGGTATATACCTTGTATGGTATAGCATCACCCATCTTAGCGTTCACTGGCTGTAAACTCTGGCGGAAAGTTCTGGTTGTTCATCTACTGTTGAGTTTTGATCTTGATCCAAAACTTAAGTTTTATACGCATATCTGTTTTACAATATTTACTTATTTGCATGCAGACTCTTAGTTCCTTGACTTTTAGGAAGATGTCCTGACATTGAAGAAATCCCGCCTAATTGGTCACTTCCTGTGACATGCTTGACGGGGGCTGGAAAAGGAGTGGATCTACTCTTTTTTTTAAATCAGAAATGGAGCCCCAGAACCCCCACAAGGATTTCTTCTTCACCTAGCTGTATCCTCATCGGCAACATCATCACCACCAAAACTACATCATCATCGTCGCCACTAACAGCAACATTTCTGTCCCTACCACTGTGATCGTCTTCATAGGCAGCATTGTTACCATCTGATCATCATCATCATTCCCACTGTGGGTTTCGGGGCCCTCATTTGGGGTGATGGGGGGGGGGGGGGGACTGCTTGCCATACATTCAAGGGGGTGTGGGGGGTCTAGCAGTATACTTCAATGGGGGGGGGGGGGGGCATGCCATATACTCGGGGTTTGGGTGGGAGGGGGGGGGGGGGTGAGATCAGTGATCTAGACGCTTGTACACATCAAATAAATGCATAAGGTAGCCATCATGTAAAAGCAGGGAGCCCCTATTTCTGCCAGACTCATTGAAACGAATGCCATCTCCACAATGGAGGTTGGCTGCAATGGAATCACACTGTCTGTTGTTTTAGTTGTAGCCTCTCAGACTGTTTATCTCTTGATGTTGTCCTCCCACTTATATTTTGTTCACCTCTTACCCCTTTTGATGTTTTCCTCCAGTGTGATTTTTAGTGCTTTGTTTTCTTTTTGGCTTCTTTGCGTCACCGGCTGTAAACTCCGGCGCAAAGTTCTGGTTGTTCAACAACTTCTAGACTCTAGTCTTGTTCCAGAACCTGAGTGTTGCGTGCACATCTATTTTACATGTCTGACTGATATGTGCACAGACTGTTGGTTTCTTGCCTGTCAGACAGGCAGTCTAACTTCGAAAGAAGCTGCTGATTAGTCGACTCTTATGACATGCTTGTTTGAGAGGCAGTGGGTCTGTTCTAGTTTTCCCTACAGTGGAGACCCAGGACCCACAGGGAAAGTTGTGTCTTTTAATGTGGCTAAGATGTTTCAGCTGAGGCCCGGAAGCTCACAGTAGATCAAGGCCAGGGACTGAGGTAACCAGGGCCTATTAGGGAAGCAATGAATAGTAACATTGTAACCTACCATGCATATCATAAGAGGCAACAAAGGAAGGTTGGAATGAGACTGACTACCTCATCCCGTAGATAACTGTTACTGTGTCGCCCTGAGAAGATGCAAAACCAATACTTCTGATAGGGTCAAATTCCCCATAAATGTCCCTTTTCCACCTTTTCTTCACTTTTCCTGATGAAGAGATACGGTTAAGGCTATTGACTGAGTTTGTGCCTTTGTGTCTGCGCAAATGTTTAGGTGAGGATAAGAATAAAAATAACATTTGAGGGTGTTTTCCTGTGATCCAAATAGTTTTGTTTAAAGCCGTGCTGCTGTTAAATTTTCCCATAAGCATCAGTGTTAGAGGTCACAGCATTATTCACCTAATACATGTTGGTTTTTTTATTCCCCTGGTGAATGTATTCCATATAATGCTTTTTTCTCTTTATTGTTTATTGATTACCCCCTTTATGTATCTGTATGCTTGGCTCACTAGCGTAGTCGGGTAAACCTGACTTTGCGGTGACTGGGTGACAAACTCCGTGTGGTCCAGGTTCACGCCTGGGTGTTGGCAGAAAAGTCAACATTTCTCCCAGATTTACGGTAAATCATGGAATCAAGGCCGAAGAGTTACAATATCCATAGTACCTAGCCAAAGGTTTAACTCATGGTTTCTGGATATTAAAAAAAAAAACATGTATCTGTATATATTTTGAAAAATATTTAAAAAATATAAATAATTGCATGACGCTAAATCCTCAAGCTCAAAGACCCCCACAACCCCCCCACATTCCCTTTCTCTCCTCAACCCCCCTCCCCCCAGCCTTCACTGCAAGAAGAGTTAAATTCAGACAATAAAATACTGGCTATATGTGTACATACAGTACATGCGTGCCTGCGTGTGTGCACGCTCCCAAGACACGGAAAAGGTTTTTGCATATGGTTTGTGTGTTTATTCTCAGGTATGCAATGAAATGTCTAGACAAGAAGAGGATCAAGATGAAAGGTGGAGAAACACTGGCCCTAAACGAACGGATCATGTTGTCTCTAGTCAGTACTGGGGTAAGTGCTGTTTTCTGTCTTCTGTCTGTCTATGTTGTCTCTGGCCAGTACTGGGGTAAATGCTGTTTTTTGTCTGTGTGTCTGTCTATGTTGTCTCTGGTCAGTACTGGGGTAAATGCTGTTTTCTGTCTGTCTGTCTGTCCATGTTGTCTCTGGTCAATACTGGGGTAAATGCTGTTTTCTGTCTGTGTGTCTGTCCATGTTGTCTCTGGTCAGTGCTGGGGTAAATGCTGTTTTCTGTCTGTGTGTCTGTCCATGTTGTCTCTGGTCAGTACTGGGGTAAGTGCTGTTTTCTGTCTGTGTGTCTGTCCATGTTGTCTCTGGTCAGTACTGGAGTAAGTGCTGTTTTCTGTCTGTGTGTCTGTCCATGTTGTCTCTGGTCAGTACTGGGGTAAGTGCTGTTTTCTGTCTGTGTGTCTGTCCATGTTGTCTCTGGTCTGTACTGGGTTATGTTATGTTTTCTGACAGTTTTTTTGATTATGTTCTACTCAATACTGAGGTGATATATTATGTTCCTCCCTCTCTGTCTGTCTGTCTGTCTGTCTGTCTGTCTGTCTGTCTGTCTGTCTGTCTGTCTGTCTGTCTGTCTGTCTGTCTGTCTGTCTGTCTGTCTGTCTGCCTGCCTGCCTGCCTGCCTGCCTGCCTGCCTGCCTGCCTGTATTCTCTTCCTCCCTCTGTCTGCCTACCTGTCTCTGTATGTCTGACTATCTGTCTTCCCTTTATGGGTTCCAGGGCCCCACTTTGGGGAAACACACAAAAACTAAACCCGCTCCCCCCCACCCCCACCACCAATAAACATGTTATAAAGGGTGACAGATTAGAAGTGTTCCCTTCAAAGTCATAGTTTAGCTGCCTTAAGAACCAGAAGTCTGCATACAAACTAGCTAGGCATGTAAAATGGATGTGCACGCAAGTTCTGGAACAAGACGAAAGTCCAGAAGTGGATGAACAGCCAAAACTCTGTGCCAGATTTGACACCCGGGAATGCTAAGAAGAGGAAGATGAAGACTTTCTGATGCTCTGTCTGCCTGTATGTCTTGTTGCTTTCTGGTCAGTACTGAAGTATGTGATATTTTGTCTCCCTCCCCCCTTCTCACACTTCAAGACAATTCTGACAGCTGCGTGGTATTCAAAACCTTGTTTTCCTGTAGTGACTTGAAATAATGCAAAAACAAATAGTACATTGCTCAGTTTATTGCCAAGTGTAGGTCGCTGATCTCGTCAGTTACATTACTACAGTTACAAGTTATTATGAAACACAAAAATTGAATAAATATGGTACCCATTATGTGAGTCTTCGCCAAACCCGAGATTTGAACCGGTGGTATACAGTGCCGCAAGTGCCAGATATCAGACCTGCACCAATGTCATGCGCTAATTCAGTCACAGATGCAAATGTTCGTTTTGGCTCACATAGTGAAAAGAAAAAAAAGAAGAGGAGTTGTAGTGGGAGAATATCAATAGCATTGAGAAAAGGAAGAAAAGAGAAAGGAAGGAGAGAAAAAAAAGAAGGTTGTGCAGGTGTGATAGAGTTACAAAAACAAAATGTGAGTCTGGGCCAAACCCGAGATTTGAACCAGTGGTATACAGTGCTGCAAGTGCCAGATATCAGACCTGCACCAATGTCATGCGCTAATTCAGTCACAAATGCAAATGTTCGTTTTGGCTTACATAGTGAAAAGAGAAGAAAGAAGAGGAGTTGTAGTGGGAGAATAGCAATAGCATTGAGAAAAGGAAGAAAAGAGAAAGGAAGGAGAGAAAAAAAGAAGGTTGTGCACAAAATGTGGGTTCCGGAACCCCATGGGGGTGGGAGTGGGGTGGGCGGGGGATAGACCCACTGCCCCTCTACAGCTAAAAAGTTAGTTGCGTATCATTTACAGGACATTGTAGAATCAACCCCAGCATATATTGCTTTTGGTTTTTCTAAGTAAATTTTACGTCCAATAGTTGCCTCTGAACGGTCAGCTGTTGTTACCACTATTGAAACCAACTCAAGACAAATTGTCTGCAGCTGGGATCGAAGCACCCTAGCCACCGACGCCGACTGTGTGGCTCCAACAGGCGTGTTTCAAAAGTTGACTAATTAGGGGTGTTTCCTTTGAAGTCATAGTGCATTTGCCTAAGAAACGAGGAAACAAGATTAGGTATAGAAATACGCCAGATCTGTAAAATGGATCAGAAGTAGACGAACAGCCGGAGGAACGTACCACCAGTTTACAGCCGGTGAAGGCAGAAAAGAACATGAAGAAGAACAAAGAGGTTATGTTGTAGTGAGAGAATCAAGGAAAGAACAAGGAGTGGTAGCTGGTGGAATAATGATATAATTAAATAAAGGTAGAAGAGAAGGAGGTTGCGTAATAGTGATGGGTTTCAGAAAAGAAAGCAGGTTGGCATGTCATTAAGCTTGTTAGTAGTGCTGATGCCTTCCAGCTTGATCATTCTAATCAGATTACTTTGAACGACTCGGATGGCAGAATAAATTCCTGACTGGTTCTGCAATCCTCTCTGTAGTTAATTACCAGAGAAAAACCATGTTATCTGTTTATATGCGGTTGGAGGTATAAATATTTATCAATCAGTTTGCCCTGCAGGGTTGTAGGTTGTTGCTTATTTTGTGCAGTCGAGGAATTGCAGGGAGATGATTTGCTTGATTGATTCATTGATTATGAATCTTCTTGAAGTTGTGTTTTTAACTCTAAGATGTAAGGAGGCTTCAGGCTGTCTGGGCCAGAAGATTCGTCTTAAAGGCATTATGGGCCCCTGAGCAAACCAGTGTGCTGGGCCCCCTTCATTCAGTAGGAATGAAATGTTTATTTATGATTAGTCACTTAATGTACACTGATTAGCATGGGGCCTCTGTGTTCATGGGGAGGGTGGGGGAATTGAGACGACACTGGTCTGGGCCCTAAGTGTTGTTCATATAAAGAACATCGCACATCGGTACATGACCACAAGTTTGCGGATCTCCTGACGAGGAGTTACCAGGGGATCTGGCTGACGCTCAACACTCAGGGGAAAGATGAGATGAATATACAATCAGACGGTTACTGGTACCATCGGAATTGGAACTCTTCGCTTGCTGCTGAAAATGGTGACAGAGCACTTATGGGAGTGTCCCGAGTGCTTTTATGTCAATTCTTAATTCAGTATTCAACATTCTGATCTCTTGAGTATGTCTCATGAATGTTTTTAGGTTAACAACAGCCATTCTGTTTTATGGTTGATGTAACGGCGTGTGGCTCCTGGTTTTCTTGTCTCACTGCTGCAGTTGGTACACCCAGGGTATGCAGTCTGTTCGGTTAAGAATCATTTTCCACAATTAGACCTTCTGCCATCAACAGCCGTGTTGTAAAAGTCAAGTAATTAGGATGTTTTATTCAAAGACAGAGTGCTTCTGCCTGAGAGGTGAGGAAGCAACAGTCTGCAGACAAATAAGCCAGATCTGTAAAATGGACGTGCACACAAAGCTAGGGTTCTGAAACAAGACCAAAGTCCAAAAATGAACGAACATCCAGAACTTTCCACCAGAATGTGCAGCCAGGGAACATGAAGATGAAGATTATAAAAAAGGTCTGTAATGTGATTGGTCTCACGCTGGCCACCTTTGCTTTCCAGAAAATTTCCAGTTCTCCTTTTTCAGCTGTGTTAAACAAAACCTGTATGTATGACTGTGTGTTTGACCATCATGTCTCTGTGGCTGTTACAGGAAGGCAGTCCATTCATCGTGTGTATGACATATGCCTTTCAAACTCCGGAGAAGCTCTGCTTCATCCTTGACCTCATGAACGGCGGCGACCTTCACTACCATCTGTCTCAGCACGGCGTCTTCACGGAGAAGGAGGTGCGCTTTTATGCTGCCGAGGTCATGCTGGGACTCGAACATATGCACAGTCGCTATGTGGTCTATAGAGATTTGAAGGTAGGGGAGAGAGAGAGAGGGAGAGAAAGAGGGGGAGAGGGAGAGAGAGGGAGAGAGAGAGAGAGAGAGGGAGAGAGAGAGAGAGAGAGAGAGAGAGAGAGAGAGAGAGAGAGAGAGAGATATGGATGTGTGTGCATGCTTGCATGCATATGTGTGTGTGTCACAATACCATCATCCATAATAGTCTACTAACCTGTCCTAACACTAATGACTGTAACATCCTATCATAGTGACCAACCTCTTTTATCTAGTACATCTACAAACTTGCCCAGCCACTATCATTGATTTTTTTCCAGCTGCTGCTGTGAAGAAAACTCTGACCCAACCTCTTTTATCTAGAACATTCTGGCAACCTGGTCAATCTCTTTTATCTCGAACAGTGATTCCTAAACTGTGCGCTTTGGTGTCCCGTAGCCACGACCTCTTCACAGTGGCACCGCAAAATATTCAAAGACACACGAGTTACAATTTTTGTAATCTCCTACACACAAAAGGTCATACTTTTACTTAGGTTAGGGCACTGTAGACAAATTTTAATTGAAAAAAGGTCTTCTTCTTTCATTCGCCTGAAATAAGTTGTCTATATCAGCAATTTTGTCTCTTGTATAAATTTCCCTGTCGTTGTTAGTTCATTCAGTGGTCCATAGAGTTTACGTTCCAATGTTGATCTTTCTGGCCAAAAGGTTTGCTATTAGCCTCTCTTGCTCAACTGTTCATCACTTCTCATCTATAAGTGACCAACCCCTTTCCTCTAGTATTCTACCAACCTGTTCATCACTTCTCATCTATAAACGACCAACCCCTTTCCTCTAGTATTCTACCAACCTGTTCATCACTTCTCATCTATAAACTACCAACCCCTTTCCTCTAGTATTCTACCAACCTGTTCATCACTTCTCATCTATAAACGACCAACCCCTTTCCTCTAGTATTCTACCAACCTGTTCATCACTTCTCATCTATAAACGACCAACCCCTTTCCTCTAGTATTCTACCAACCTGTTCATCACTTCTCATCTATAAATACAACCAGCATCAGGAGTGATGAGACCAGCCAGGGTTATGTATATTCCAGCCCTCCATAAATGAGAGAAAATGGGCCGGGCACTCTGGGAGTCAAACCAATTTGTGTAGCTGTAATAAATTGCCATTTACGACCCAGCAAGATTACGGCCCATTGGGGCTGATGATAAATGTTGTCTTTGGTACCGAGCTGGCTGGGTCTCTTCAAGGAGGGCTATAGAACCAACATTGTTTAGGGCGATGCTTAACTGAGATGGAAGTGGAATTTATGTTCCCAACTGGTTATCTTGTTAAGAAAACCGACTGATTAAGAAGTTGTAATGATTGGGTAAGGCTGTGTGATTAGTGTTCTGGGGGCCTGCGTTCTGTGTCTTGTGTAGCAGGGTTGTAGTGGTGGTGGTGGTAGTGATGATGACGAAAGTGGTGTGATAATGGTGAAAGTGGTGATAATGATGAAAGTGATGGTGGCGATGATGATGATGATGATGATGAAAGTGAGTCTCTTCTTTTACCACCTAGATGAGGCCCCAGGACCTACATGGGGAAAATATAAAAATATGTTGTAGACTTTTAAATTTGTTTCTGATTTGTTTTCTGTTAACTCCTTCTTCTTCTTCTTCTTTGATCCTTCTGTCAGAAAACAGTATATTGTCTCTCTCTAGAGAGTTGAAGCGAGTCTTGTGGACAGAATTTAGTGCCTGTATCCAGCCACCTTTCTTGGATACTAGATTGCATTAATGTCTTGGTGTCTTAACTCTTTGAGTCCCTGGTTGGAGGCTATTTAATCTCAATATATCCTAATTATTTTTAATTTTAACTAAAAAAATGTTTCCCTCTGAAGCAGGTAAAATAATAGCATCATGTGAATAAAAGATATAAAGCAATAGTTGAAGCTGATTCTTCTTAAAGTTCATGCCCTGTGGTGTTGGTGGTCGTGTCTATCGACAACATTCTGTCTCGTGCATCTTCAGTCAACTCTGACACAGATGATCTTCCATGCCATGATGTCAAACTGTCCAGCATCTTTTCTCTCTGTCTGCCTCTCCTTCCCTCCAACTTTCCTACTGTCATGATGTACTCCAGTTTTCTTCTTCTCATCACATGATAAAAAAATGTAGATTGTCTCTTTATGATGTGGGCAATCAGTTCTCTTCATGTGTCAGTCTTTCAAGAAATCTTCACTACTCTTTATATCTGTCCAGGGTATTCTCATCTTTCGTCTATAAACCACATCTCCGCAGCTTCCAAATAAGTTTTCACTAATTTACCAAATGTCCATGATTCCCTTCCACATATCAAAATGGGATTTATATAGATTTTAAGAATTCTCTTCCTCGTCTCAATTGAGAAAGAAAGATTGCAAAAAATATTCTTCATTTGTCTTCATTTTGAGCTTTTTCTACATTCACCCATTTATATAGATTTTTAGAATTCTCTTTCTCGTCTCAATTGAGAAAGAAAGATTGCAAAAAATATTCTTCATTTGTCTTCATTTTTAGCTTTTTCTACATTCACTGAGTAAGTTAATGTAACTACTGGATGGGTGACAGAAAGTTAAGAATAGCAAATAGTGTATGTAAGCTCACCAAACACCTAGTGAGTTGCTTGGGAGCGAAAGAGTTAATTATTGTGTGTGTTTCTTCGCAGCCGGCAAATATTTTGTTGGACGAGAACGGACATGTGAGGATATCTGACCTGGGTCTGGCCTGCGATTTCTCTAAGAAGAAGCCCCATGCCAGCGTGTGAGTGCTTCATTTTTTTCTCACCTTTTCAGTTCCACAAGGTAGTTGAGAATGGCAGTATTAAACTCATGGGTGTACTACTTTCAGTAGGGCCAAATATACAACACTTGCAAGAAGGGAATATTTTGTCAGGAGATCTTCAGAGTCAGTCACTAAACATCAGATGTTGTTGGTTAGTTGCGTATCCTTTACAGGACGTCGCAGAACCAACCCCAACAGCTGTTGTGTGGTTTTTCTAGGCAAATGTACGTCCAGTAGTTTGCTTCTGAACGGTCGGCTTTCTTGATACCACAGCCGAAACCAGCGCAAGGTGCATGGCCCGCAGCTGGGGTCGAACCCGGCATCCCGGCATTACAAAGCGTTTGCATCGACTTAGCAACAGAGCTGACAAACATCAGATGTAAAAACATAAATAACCTATTGATTGTTACTAGGTGAATAATACCCAGTCACTCGAAATGTGTGCAGATTGACAAGCTTCAATTCGGAGATCCCAGGTAGTTAAAGTGCTTTGGATATTTTCTCCAGGTCATGTCAGTGTGTTGATAAACAAGCAGGTAGATAGACTGGTCGGTTCTGCACCACTTAGTTGTGAATTGATGTATGATAAACTAGCAGTTGTGAGGGCCCTGGCTCCTGAGGACAGGAATGGAGCACATATGGGAATGCTCCGAGTGCTGTGATGTCAATTCTGGACTCAAATAAACTCGGCTGATAGAGTTATCATCATTTAGCAGGTACTTTGCCGAACTCCTTCTCATCACAGTCTGCCTGAAAGAAACTGACTCTCATCAGCTCTCCCACTTCATGCACTTTCACACCCAAGGAGTCACTTATATCCTGTACCCATCTTCGTGCTGGTCAGCCCTACCCCTTCTTCCTGACACATGCCTTCTGCTGTTTTTTCCCTAGTCTGCTGTAGCATTTGAAATGGCCAAAATATTTTAGCTTCCGAGACATAAATAAAGAAATAGAATACTTCTTTCTATGAGTGTTAATCAGTACATTGTATTTTTTTTTCTGTTAATTATCTCTTTGAGTCCCAAGGGGTTTAGCAATACAGGCCCAGGGGGTAGTAAAGAGAGTCATAAAATCGGCGCATCATGTGTTCATTGGGCTTCTAGGTAGGAACCTATAAACGTATGATGCGTTCCTTGGGACTCAAAGAGTTATATATATAATATTTCTACAGCCTTAAAGGTTCCCCCTCTATTTATGTGAATGATGTGTAGCAAAATGGGACCTACCAATTAGATCTCTTTTAAATGTTCGTGTATTCTAGACAAAAGCCTGATGGTCAGCTGTGTTTGTAAATTGTTGCTGTGTTTGTTATTCCACCTATGCTTGATTAATATAAATTTCTGTAACCTATGGTGCCATTTCAATGTTTTGGGAGGAATTCTGTTTATATTCCATAGTTGTGGATTTCAGGCTGTACGATAGACATGACCAGTGAAAACACCTAGTTGGTCATGTTCTTAGTACACTTGTTTCCATAGTGAGGCGCCCATGCCATTATGGAGGTGACAGGTTCGATTTCCGGCATGGTAACTATAGCTTTCAATTTTTGTGTCGTTAAGTGTGTCCTTTTATCGTTCTACTTCTTTCAATGAGTGCCAATAAATACATTTTCTGTTTGTTTATTATATATATATATTTCAGCTTCTGAGAAAAAATGCTGTTTATCATCCAATCATCCTTAATGCCCAGATCTTTTAGAATGTCGGTAGTTGTGTTGAGTTGAGTCAAAAATTGACATCAAAGCGTGCTCCGTTCTCATCTTTTGCAGCCAGCGCAGAGTTAGAATGTCGGTAGTTGTGTTGAGTTGAGTCAAAAATGGACATCAAAGCGTGCTCCGTTCTCATCTTTTGCAGCCAGCGCAGAGTTAGAATGTCGGTATTTCACTTCTGTTTTGTACATGGTATTCTGTGAATGTTTCTGAAGCATTTCAGCTGAGAAGCCCCTTTCTTCTTTCCTAAGAATGATGATGACATCTATAGTGAAAGGGATTGACATATTGGGAAAAATGTCTTTGATTGGTTTGAAGAAGAAAAAGATGGCCAAAGTTTTCCATAGCCCTGTGTGTTCTGGGTAAGCTTTGATTTTGAAAGTGTCACTGGTTTTTCTGTTTGATCTGCCCCTACAGGGGGACACACGGCTACATGGCACCAGAGGTCCTGCAGAAGGGCACAGCTTATGATTCCAGCGCTGACTGGTTCTCATTCGGTTGTATGCTGTACAAGCTGCTCAAAGGGTGAGGGTCATGAACTTTGAACCTTGTGTTGTGTTGATTGGTCGGAGGGAAGATGGGATAACTTGATTGTGTTGGAAGATGTGATAATTTTAATGTATGAGAAGATATGATAACTTGATTGTATAGGAAGATGATTGGATATTATGATTGTATTGGAAGATATGGTAATGTGATTGTATGGGAGGAATTAGTCAAGACCATGATAATGTAATTCTGTTGGAATATGTGATAACTTTATTATATGAGAAGATGTATGGATGTGATGATTGTATTAAAAGATATGATGATGGTATTGAATGAGAAGATGTAGTAAAGGTTATGATATAATGTGATTGTGAATGTGATCATGTGATTGTGTGAGAAGATGTGATGATGTGTTAGGTGAAGAGATTTATGGATAATTTGATTGTGTAGGAAGAATCGAGACTGATAATATGATTGTTTGAGAAAGTGTAGGGATGTTATGATTATATTAGAAGATATGCGAGTGTGATTGTATGGGAAGGTGTGGGGGATAATGAGATTGTATAGGATGATGTAGTGATAATGTAATTTTATTAGAAGATATGATAACATGATTGTCCAGGAAGTTGTAGTAATAATGTGATTGTATGGGAGGATGTAGTAATAATGTGATTGTATGAGAAAATATGGTGATAATTTGATTTTGTCGGGAAGATATAATGATAATGTGATTGTGTGGGAAGAAATAATGATAATGTGACTGTGTGGGAAGATATAATGATGTGATTGTGTTGGAAGATGTAATGATAATGTGATTGTGTGGGAAGATATAATGTGATTGTGTAGGAAAATATAATGATAATGTGATTGTGTGGGAAGATATGATAATGTGATTGTGAGGGAAGATGTAATGATAATGTGATTGTGTGGGAGGATGTGCTGATAATGTGACTGTGTGGGAGGATATAATATCAGTGTGTGAGAAAATGTAGTGCAGCAACTTTTGTTTCATAGAACAAGCGGACATACTAATCTAGCTCCATCACACATATGCACAAGCCACAACGGCTCCATCAGGCATGCACACAAGCCACTAAAGCTGTATTATTATAAACCAAAAGAGGAAAATGTACCATTTCAGTCCCTGCCTCACTGTAGAGAAGCCATTAGGATAGTTTTGAATTTATTGTTATATTGATAGCTATGTTTTGATTTTTATATTGATAGTTATGATTTTATTGTTGTAATGATAGTTTATGATTTGATTGTTATATTGATATTTGATTGTAGTTTTGATTGCTTTGATTTGATTGTAATATTGATAGCTGTATTTTGATTGTTGTACTGATAGTTGTGATGTGATTGTTCTATTGAAAGTTCTGGTGTGGTTGTTATATTGAAAGTTGTGATTTGATTGTTCTATTGATGGTTTGTGATTTGGTTGTTATTTTGATAGAGGTGACGTAGTTGTTATATTGATAGCGGTGATTTCATTGTTCATAGTCACAGTCCATTCAGGCAACACAAGACCAAGGACAAACATGAGATTGACCGCATGACCATGACCATGGTAAGTGTCCATCTTTGGGGCAGCTGTGGCAGGGTGCCAGCTCGTTGTTGTTGTTGTTTGACTACCATCGTCATCGTGTCTCATATTGTGCTGTGTGGATAGTCATGCATTAGCAAAATGGTCTGGACAGAAATTTTGTGTTTACGTATTATGCTAGGTGTAACAAAGAAAGATCAACTTAACTCTTTCAGGCCCATGAATTTTGACAGACTTGGCCCACATTAATTTCCCTGGCAGAAAGGGGGGGGGGGGGGGGGGGGGGGGGGGGTTGTACAAGAAAGGCAATATAGAATGTAATATACTTCTAATCCTAATAAAAGTATATATTTTTTTAAAGAGAAATGAATGTACATTTTGAATCTGATGATAAGTTTATATTTAATTTGTTTATATAAGTAGGAAAGAAGAATTCAGCAGGTGTTAATTTCACAACAACAACATTTTATTAACAAATTCTTCACTTATCATGGTTTTGCAGCCACAAGAGTAGTGAATATCCAAACTTGAGAACAAAACTTCAAAGTTTGTTCAATTCCAAAGTTATGATAAGTTTCTAGGTTAGTTTTAAAGCACTCAGGGGCTCTTAGTTCTCACTTAGTGCTGAGCAAAATTTCAGAGAAAACAATGAGCCATTACACACATAATATTTACTATTTACTTTGTACAGTTATATACAGACTGTAGCTGCAATGATTTCAATGTAGCTTAGCCATAGTATAGTACAATCTCTTTGTTTAGAGCACTTTCCTTCTCTTACACCATAAATACGGTAGTATGGGACCTTGTCTGTGAAATAAACTCATCAGAATCGCTAGATTCAGAACAGCTGATCACTCAGCTTCGCTGGTGAAAATGCCCTGTCTGAATCACTTTCCGAAAAATCTAAATTTTATTATCATTATCAGAATTCAAAACATCTGACTAAAACAATTTCAGAGCTTCGGCTGCAGAAAGACGCATTCTGCGACCTGTACTTGTGGTGGGAACACTGGTATGCATGGCACTCAAAAACAAACTCAGAAGATGCACTGTTGAAAAATTTTTCGCTGTGGATCTGATCAAATTATGCACGTGTGGTTTCTGATAGGAATGTAGCTGAAAGGATTTCAGCAGAGTGATTTTTCCTGAATAGTTTAATCATACTTCCGAACATTAGAAACAAGTACGGAGCCGTGTGTGAAGCAAAATGTACAGGATACACGGTCGACGATGACAGCGTTGTTTAGGCAAAACAGAACTTCTCAATCAACGCTAACACGGTTGCTTGGGCCTTAAAGAGTTAAGAACAATGCTAGGTGTAACAAGGAAAGATTGACTTAAGAACAGTGATATTATGCTAGGTGTAACAAGGAAAGATTGACTTAAGAACAATGATATTATGCTAGGTGTAACAAGGAAAGATTGACTTAAGAACAGTGATATTATGCTAGGTGTAACAAGGAAAGATTGACTTAAGAACAATGATATTATGCTAGGTGTAACAAGGAAAGATTGACTTAAGAACAATGATATTATGCTAGGTGTAACAAGGAAAGATTGACTTAAGAACAATGATATTATGCTAGGTGTAACAAGGAAAGATTGACTAAAGAACAATGATATTATGCTAGGTGTAACAAGGAAAGATTGACTTAAGAACAATGATATTATGCTAGGTGTAACAAGGAAAGATTGACTTAAGAACAATGATATTATGCTAGGTGTAACAAGGAAAGATTGACTTAAGAACAGTGATATTATGCTAGGTGTAACAAGGAAAGATTGACTAAAGAACAATGATATTATGCTAGGTGTAACAAGGAAAGATTGACTAAAGAACAATGATATTATGCTAGGTGTAACAAGGAAAGATTGACTAAAGAACAATGATATTATGCTAGGTGTAACAAGGAAAGATTGACTTAAGATCAGTGATATTATGCTAGGTGTAACAAGGAAAGATTGACTTAAGAACAATGATATTATGCTAGGTGTAACAAGGAAAGATTGACTTAAGAACAATGATATTATGCTAGGTGTAACAAGGAAAGATTGACTTAAGAACAATGATATTATGCTAGGTGTAACAAGGAAAGATTGACTTAAGAACAATGATATTATGCTAGGTGTAACAAGGAAAGATTGACTTAAGAACAATGATATTATGCTAGGTGTAACAAGGAAAGATTGACTTAAGAACAGTGATATTATGCTAGGTGTAACAAGGAAAGATTGACTTAAGAACAGTGATATTATGCTAGGTGTAACAAGGAAAGATTGACTTAAGAACAATGATATTATGCTAGGTGTAACAAGGAAAGATTGACTAAAGAACAATGATATTATGCTAGGTGTAACAAGGAAAGATTGACTTAAGAACAGTGATATTATGCTAGGTGTAACAAGGAAAGATTGACTTAAGAACAGTGATATTATGCTAGGTGTAACAAGGAAAGATTGACTAAAGAACAATGATATTATGCTAGGTGTAACAAGGAAAGATTGACTTAAGAACAATGATATTATGCTAGGTGTAACAAGGAAAGATTGACTTCACAACAATGATATTATGCTAGGTGTAACAAGGAAAGATTGACTTAAGAACAGTGATATTATGCTAGGTGTAACAAGGAAAGATTGACTAAAGAACAATGATATTATGCTAGGTGTAACAAGGAAAGATTGACTTAAGAACAGTGATATTATGCTAGGTGTAACAAGGAAAGATTGACTTCACAACAGTGATATTATGCTAGGTGTAACAAGGAAAGATTGACTAAAGAACAATGATATTATGCTAGGTGTAACAAGGAAAGATTGACTTAAGAACAATGATATTATGCTAGGTGTAACAAGGAAAGATTGACTTAAGAACAGTGATATTATGCTAGGTGTAACAAGGAAAGATTGACTTAAGAACAATGATATTATGCTAGGTGTAACAAGGAAAGATTGACTAAAGAACAATGATATTATGCTAGGTGTAACAAGGAAAGATTGACTTAAGAACAATGATATTATGCTAGGTGTAACAAGGAAAGATTGACTTAAGAACAATGATATTATGCTAGGTGTAACAAGGAAAGATTGACTTAAGAACAATGATATTATGCTAGGTGTAACAAGGAAAGATTGACTTAAGAACAATGATATTATGCTAGGTGTAACAAGGAAAGATTGACTAAAGAACAATGATATTATGCTAGGTGTAACAAGGAAAGATTGACTTAAGAACAATGATATTATGCTAGGTGTAACAAGGAAAGATTGACTTAAGAACAATGATATTATGCTAGGTGTAACAAGGAAAGATTGACTAAAGAACAATGATATTATGCTAGGTGTAACAAGGAAAGATTGACTTAAGAACAATGATATTATGCTAGGTGTAACAAGGAAAGATTGACTTCACAACAATGATATTATGCTAGGTGTAACAAGGAAAGATTGACTTAAGAACAGTGATATTATGCTAGGTGTAACAAGGAAAGATTGACTAAAGAACAATGATATTATGCTAGGTGTAACAAGGAAAGATTGACTTAAGAACAATGATATTATGCTAGGTGTAACAAGGAAAGATTGACTTAAGAACAGTGATATTATGCTAGGTGTAACAAGGAAAGATTGACTAAAGAACAATGATATTATGCTAGGTGTAACAAGGAAAGATTGACTAAAGAACAATGATATTATGCTAGGTGTAACAAGGAAAGATTGACTTAAGAACAATGATATTATGCTAGGTGTAACAAGGAAAGATTGACTTAAGAACAATGATATTATGCTAGGTGTAACAAGGAAAGATTGACTTAAGAACAATGATATTATGCTAGGTGTAACAAGGAAAGATTGACTTAAGAACAGTGATATTATGCTAGGTGTAACAAGGAAAGATTGACTTAAGAACAATGATATTATGCTAGGTGTAACAAGGAAAGATTGACTTAAGAACAGTGATATTATGCTAGGTGTAACAAGGAAAGATTGACTTAAGAAACAGTGATATTATGCTAGGTGTAACAAGGAAAGATTGACTTAAGAACAGTGATATTATGCTAGGTGTAACAAGGAAAGATTGACTTAAGAACAATGATATTATGCTAGGTGTAACAAGGAAAGATTGACTTAAGAACAGTGATATTATGCTAGGTGTAACAAGGAAAGATTGACTTAAGAACAATGATATTATGCTAGGTGTAACAAGGAAAGATTGACTTAAGAACAATGATATTATGCTAGGTGTAACAAGGAAAGATTGACTTAAGAACAATGATATTATGCTAGGTGTAACAAGGAAAGATTGACTTAAGAACAGTGATATTATGCTAGGTGTAACAAGGAAAGATTGACTTAAGAACAATGATATCAGGAGGAAAGTCGACACAGAAGCAATACCCAGCTTTATTGCTAGACAACAGACCAAATGGTATGACCATGAAACAAGATTGGCAACAGACTGGGAACCACAGAGAGCAGTGTTGTACAGATACAGCGGTAACAGAGCCAGAGGTCAACTAAACACAAGAGGGGCCGCATAAATATTGAAGACCCTGAAAATTAATATTTCCAAAGTGAAAACAGGGCCCGTTGCAGAGATCTGTTCCTGCCCCGATGCTGCCAGGCATTCCAGGAGTGGAGAAAAGAGGAAGAAGAAGAAGATAGCCATAGTTATCCATAGCTCTCTGTGTTCTACGTTCTAGGTAAGTTCAGCTGCTTTCATCTCCTCCATTCAACCACTTCCTCTGATGCTCTAAACATTCCCCTATGGATTGCAAACCAGATATGAAACAACTGGTCCTATTAGCGCGTGGACTCTTCGTTGGCTATTAAAGAGAGGGACGGAGCTCATGTTGGAATATCCCGAAGGCAGTGGTGTCAGTTCTTCATTCATTCATTCATTATATTATTCATTCATTCATTCATTCAATCAATCATTCATTCATTTATATAACACAGTGTCCCCCGTGTGGGTTCCGGGGCCCCATTGTGGGGAAAACAAGAATAGACCCACTGCCTCCCCAAAAGCATGTCGTAAGAGTCGACTTATTGGGGAGCTTCCTTTGAAGTCGGAGTGCATCTACCGGAGAGGCAAGGAACCAGCAGTCTGTATTCAAGAGAATGAGATCTGTAAAACTGATGCACACGCAACACTCAGGCTCTGGAGCATGACTGCAGTTCAGTAGTGGACGAGCAACCAGAACTTTCCGCCAGAGTGTACAGCTGGTGAACGCGAAGAAGAAGAAGATAACACAGTGTTGAGTCATGTGAAATATTTGTTTGGTTTCAGAACGTAGACTTACCGGACACAATGTCAGTAGAAATGAAAAGTTTACTCGAGGGACTGCTACAAAGGGATGTGGAGGATAGGCTTGGATGTTTAGGAAGCGGGTATGTAAACTATATTTCTATAGATATTCTGTCTTTACCATGTCTCATATAGACATAATAGTTATATCCCTCGTCTTATATAAAAATGACATATCCAACATTTCAAATAAAAATGACTCATCCAGCATCTCAAATAAAAGTAACATATCCAACATCTCATATAAAAGTGACATACCCAACATCTTATATAAAAGTGACATAACCAACATCTTATATAAAAGTGACATAACCAACATCTCATAAAAGTGGCATATCCAACATCTCACATAAAAGTGACATATCCAGCATCTTATATAAAAGAGACATGTCCACCATCTCATATAAAAGTGACATGTCCACCATCTCATAAAATATAACCATATATATAAGTGACATAACCAACATCTTATACATGTGACATATCCAACATCTCATATAAAGAGACAGTATTATCCAACATCATTCGTAAAATTCCCCAAAACAACAGCTAGTGCAGTGCGGCCAACCTTTATTGTGGAGATGACACAGGATTTATTAAAACATCCAACATGGCACAGAAACATGGCTACATCCAACATCTCACACTGATACTACTACAGCACACAGTATATGTTACACTGATATTAATGTAACATAAAGCATCTCACATAAACATTACTGAAACAACCAACATCTCATACAACCATTAAAGTAATATTCAACATCTCACTTAAACATTACTGAAACAACCAACATCTCATACAACCATTAAAGTAATATTCAACATCTCATATAAACATGATTGTAACGTTGAACATCTCACACAAACATGAGTATAATATCCAAAATCTCACAAAAACATTTCTGAAACAACCAACATTTCATGTAACCATTACAGTAATGTTCAAAATCTCACATAAACATGATTTTAACTTCAACATATCACATCCACATTACTGTAACATCTGACATCTTTACAGCCATTACAATAATGTGAAACATCTCATTTAAACATGTTTAACATCCAGCATATTGCATAAACAGGATTAACATTCGCTGTCTCATGTAAATCTTTTTTAAGATCCAACATCTCATATAGACATCCCTGTAGCATCCAACATCTCAGATAAACATTTATATAATGTCCAGCAATCTCATGCAAACATTTCTTTAACATGTAACACCTTTTATAAACATTTCTTTAAAATCCAATATCTCATAAAAACATTTCTGTAACATTAGATATCTCAAACAAACATTTCTGTAACATCCATCTCATACAAACAGTACTACTGTAACATCCAGCATTTCATACAAACACTTCTATAACATCCAATATTTTATACAAACATTTCTGTAACATCTAACATCTCACATAAACATGATTGAAATTCAACTATTTGTTTATAACACAGAGCTCAAGAAGTCAAAGACCACCCATTCTTCAAAGGCATCGACTGGGTACAAGTGTACCTGCAGAAATACACTCCTCCGCTGATTCCACCCAAGGGTGAGGTCAATGCTGCAGACGCTTTTGATATTGGTTCCTTCGATGAGGAAGACACCAAGGGAATCAAGGTAAGGTTGGCATTTGTTTGCTGCGTGATTCTTGATTACCTATGGGCCATGTGTTAGGTTTTCTTTTCAGCACTCCGGACATGCCTGTAAGTGCTCAGTTCCCCCTTCAGCATATTCATCAGTGTCTTGAGGTTAATGATGCCAGTCCTGGGTTGGTTAATAAGGGTAATTGTGTGTCCAGTGTGCCTCTCATGCTTGGCTGTGCCGATCTTTGCTGACAGTTCACATATTCTTAGCAGTGTTGTGACAGGGCTCCCAAAATCCTCTGATCTCTCCAAGGGCATTAACAATGTCAGGGCAATTCTGAGGCCAGCCATAGATCACCCAGCAGACACACATGGGGATAGTCTTGTGATTCTAGCCACATGAAAGCCTGTGTCACCGCCATCACCTCCATCGTCATGCTGCTGGTAGTCATACAGAAGGCACCGCTGGCTTCATGGACTGTTCTGCCAGCAGAGCCAGCTGTGACTGCCCATACCACTCTTGTGTCCTTGTACAGTGGACCCGTCTCTGTAGATCAGCATAGCACATCTGCCTCTTCTGAATTGTTTGAAGTACTTATGTTAGTTCTTTTGATGAGTAAGACGCCAGGGCAGTCAAGGAGAGGTTGGCTTTTGTTGCTGGGTGACTCTAGATGGCCTATCATATTGTGTGTGCCTCTCTTCTTCTTCTGTTTGCCCTGAAAAGGCAGTTGGAAGGTTGTGTTGGGATTTACAGCTAGGCTGTGATACCTGCATATTTCGGTCCACTAGATCAATTTCGTCAGCTCTGTGGCTAAGTCGATGCGAAAGCTTATTGATGCCGGGTTCGATCCCAGCTGCAGGCCATGGATGGGCCTTGTATTGATTTCGACAGTGGTATCAAGAAAGCCGACCGTCCAGAAAGCAGTGGCAAACTATTGAACGTAAATTTGCCTAGAAAAACCACACAACAGCCAGGGGCTGTTGGGGTTGGTTCTGCAACGTCCTGTAAAGTTTACGCAACTAACCTTGAGATCAGATTTCAGCAAATCCTTGATTAATTGCTGCCTTTCACAGCTTGCTTGATAAGGGGCACTGTGTCTTTTCTTACTCCCCTTTCCATGTCCCTTCCACACACACGCACACACCCACACACTCACTTACTCATTCACATTCTTTTTTTCTTTCTCTCTCTCTCTCTCTCTCTCTCTCTCTCTCTCTCTCTCCCCCCCCCCCCCCCCTCTCTCTCTAGGGTGGCTGTCCCCACAATGAGGATGTATACCTATCAGATTGTATAGCACATGCTTCCAATAGTCCACGATGTGTTGTGTTGGTCATCCTTTCATCTTCTGCATTCACCCTTACAAAGATGGTTGGCAGTGTATATTGTGGTTTATAGCTAGGCTGCGATATTTGCGTCTTTCATCCCAACATTTCTAATGTCAGGAAACTCTTAATTAGTCACCTTTTACAGTATGCTTCTTAGGGGTCTGCCCCCTCCTCCAAATGGGGGGGGGGGGGGGGGGGCATCCTTACACTGATTTTCTTTTTCCAATTTGTCACCTATCATCTTTTTAGCATTCACTGGCTGTAAACTCTGGCAAAAAATTCTGGTTGTTCATCTATTTCTGGACTTTAGTTTTGTTCTAGAACTTGGGTTTTGCATGTACCTTCGTTTTACAGATCTGGTTTCTTGTGTGCAGACTGTTGGTTCCTCGCCTCTCAGGCAGATGTGTTCTGACTTCGGAGAATTGTGACTCTGTTAAAAAAAAGTTTGTTTGTTCCTGTAAACGAATTATTGACATATTGTCTCTACCTGGCCTAGCTGTCAGAGTCTGACCAGGACCTGTACAAAAACTTCCCGCTGGTGGTCTCCGAGCGGTGGCAGCATGAGGTGGCAGAGACTGTGTTCGAAACCATCAACTCTGACACTGACAAGCTGGAGCAGAAGCGCAAGCAGAAGCCAAAGGCAGATGAGTTGAATTTAGGTGGGTCCCTGGTCTGTCTGTTGTTGTGTGTTGCTTTAGGTTGTGTTCTCTGATGATTAAGTAAAGTGTGGACAGGAGGCTGTCCTACTAGAACTTGAAAACATTGCTTAGCCTTTAACTTTACCTCTATTTAGACAGGAGCATTACTTAGATTTAGACAGGAGCATGACTTAGATTTAGATAGAAGCAATTAATAAGGTATAGACCGGAGCATTAATTAGATTTTTGCAGAAGCAGCGGCGTCCGTGGCTAAGGCGTTGCGAGTCCGACTCGTAATCCAACGTACCGCGATCGAAACCTGCGTGGGCTGCGTGGATTTTTATCGTGGTATGGGACGTCGCAGGTCGACCCAGCCTCAAATGGGTACCAGGATGGGCTGTCCTGGGAAAGTAAAGACGGTCGGCGTAATGCTGACCACATTACCCACCGAGTGCCGATTGGTCTGTAAAAATATGGGTGCTCTTCCCTTATGCCCGATGCGCCTAAAGACGTGTAAAGGGATCTTTACTTTTTTTCTTATTACTTAGATTTAGACAGGAGCATTAATTAGATTTAGACTGGAGCATTAATTAGATTTAGACAGGAGCATTACTTAGATTTAGACAGGAGCATTAATTAGATTTAGACTGGAGCATTAATTAGATTTAGACTGGAGCATTACTTAGATTTAGACAGGAGCATTAATTAGATTTAGACTGGAGCATTAATTAGATTTAGACTGGAGCATTAATTAGATTTAGACTGGAGCATTACTTAGATTTAGACAGGAGCATTACTTAGATTTAGACTGGAGCATTAATTAGATTTAGACTGGAGCATTAATTAGATTTAGACTGGAGCATTACTTAGATTTAGACAGGAGCATTACTTAGATTTAGACAGGAGCATTACTTAGATTTAGACAGGAGCATTAATTAGATTCAGACTGGAGCATTAATTAGATTTAGACTAGAGCAATAATTAGATTTAGACTGGAGCATTACTTAGATTTAGACAGGAGCATTACTTAGATTTAGACAGGAGCATTAATTAGATTTAGACTGGAGCATTAATTAGATTTAGACTGGAGCATTAATTAGATTTAGACTGGAGCATTACTTAGATTTAGACAGGAGCATTAATTAGATTTAGACTGGAGCATTAATTAGATTTAGACTGGAGCATTAATTAGATTTAGACAGGAGCATTACTTAGATTAGCGGCGTCCGTGGCTAAGGCGTTGTGAGTCCGACTCGTAAGCCAGCATACCGCGATCGAAACCCACTGCAGGTTGCGTGGATTTTTGTTGTGGTATGGGACGTCGCAGGTCGACCCAGCCTAAAATGGGTACCAGGATGGGCTGTCCTGGGAAAGTAAAGACAGCCGGCGTAATGCTGACCACATTACCCACAGAGTGCTGATGGTCTGTAAAAATATGGGACGCTCTGCCCATATGCCCGATGCGCCGAAAGGCGTGAAAAGGGAACTTTAATTTTTTTTTTATTACTTAGATTTAGACAGAAGCATTATTTACATTTAGATAGGACAATTTCTTAGATTTAAACTAAAGCATTACTTAGATTTAGACAGGAGCATTACTTAGATTTAGACAGGAGCATTAATTAGATTTAGATTGAAGCATTAATTAGATTTAGACTGGAGCATTAATTAGATTTAAACTGGAGCATTACTTAGATTTAGACAGGAGCATTACTTAGATTTAGACAGGAGCATTTTTTAGATTTAGACTGGAACATTAATTAGATTTAGACGAGCATTAATTAGATTTAGACAGGAGCATTACTTAGATTTAGACAGGAGCATTATTTACATTTAGATAGGACAATTACTTAGATTTTGACTGAAGCATTACTTAGATTTAGGCAGGACATTACTTAGACATCAGCATTATTTATTACATTTTAGAACTCAAAACTTATAAAAATGTCAGAAAAAAAAACGTTGCAAGTTAGCTTGGTTTGGTCACGTGGTTAGACATGATTCGATTGCAAAGACTGTACTTAACCTGAAAAGACAGCATCAAATGGACAGGACTAAGTTATCATACACTTATACATCAAGCGGAAGAGGGAGAAAAGAAAGCGGGTTTTATATTCTAGTGCTTCCATCAATACACTTCTAAGGCCCTAATGGGTCAAGGGTCATGATATGTTATGTTACTACATAGTCAGGACTATCACTTAGATGTAGATAGGTCATTACTTAGACAGGAGAATTACCTAGATCGGAGATTACATAGACAGCAACGTTACTTAGAGTTAGATAGGACATTACTCAGGAGAGTTAATTAGATTTAGAAAGGGCATGGAATCGCCAAAAGCTCATGGAATGTATGAGCCATGAAAGTATTAGGTTCGAATCCTAGGTTAGTTACGTATCCTTTACAGAACGTTGCAGAGCCAACCCCAACAGCCCCTGGCTGTTGTGTGGTTTTTCTAGGCAAATTTACGTCCAGTAGTTTGCCATTGCTTTCTGGACGGTCAACTTTCTTGATACCACTGTCGAAAACAACGCAAGGCGCATGGCCCGCACCTGGGATCGAACCCGGCATCCCGGCATTACGAAGCGTTGTTTTGAATCCACATTAAACAAATTTTTAAAAAAGACAGGCTCTCAGACTAATGTAGCCTAAAATGTGTATCAAAAATGTATTTTGGGAAGTAAAGGTGGCCGGCGTGATGTTAATACATCACCTCATCACCCATCAAGTGCTTATTGGTCTATTGACAATGAATTCAGCACCATACACCTGATGCAGCATTGACGTGAGAGAAATCCTTTTCTGTTTTTGTTTTTGTTTTTGTAAAAACCGGGAATGTTGCTGTGCTTGGATTGTTGTCGATCTGATCTCAGTGTTTCTTGTTGCTCCATCTGTTATATATACCCCAGCTGCTTGTGTCACACAGTGTGCCCACAAACAAGGGATGGAATCATCAGATCAATCAGTCAGGCGCTGTCTCTAAAGTCAAGGTTGGCTGCAGTGGATCTCCATCTCGCCCTGTCTCTTGTCCTGCTTGTACACTCTCTCAGACTACTGCCAGTCCATCTCTTGATGCTGTCCTCCCACTTGTATCACTACCCACCTCTTGCTCTCTTGCCCTCGACCTTCCCCTCCAATATGGTTTTCAAGTTGTTATATCTTTTAAAATGGCCGAAGTATTTCAGTTGTCTCTTTTTTCATTTTATTTAGTAATTATCTTTTTTTTTCTAGTCTTTGCAGAACCTCTGTATATGACTGTTTTTGTTTCCTAAGAATGGAATGGCTGAGGCCTTGGATACTAGCATCTGTTTAGCACACACCAAGGTTTTCACATGATACCTGTTCAAAACCCAATGCTGAAAGGCAAAATAAGGACTAGGGTAAAGAAGAAGAAGTAGAAAGGGTCTCTGTCTTTCTAATTCTTTCTGTGAGTGCCTATCAATACATTGTGTGTTTGTTTATTATATGTACAATTATGTGAAGTGTTATATTTGCTTGAATGTTATCTCCTGAAGTGTTATTTTTGCTTGGATGTTGTCTCTTTTGTGTTATCTTTGCTTGGATGTTATCTCTCTTGTGTTTCTTGTTTCCTCCCAACTTGTTGGACCCCAGCTGGACCTACCGACTGCATCGTGGAGGGTGAGGTTCTGAAGCTGGGTGGACCCTTCAACCAGTCCTGGACAAAGAAACATCTGAAGCTCTACCCCAATCGGCTGGAGTTCTACCAGAAAGCCAGAGATGGGACAGTGCCAAGGGGCAAAGGTGTCGAGGTCAGTTTGTTTGTGTTCAGCATTGGGGGAGGGGGGGGGGTCATTACTATCATCAGTACAAGATTTCCTTCATTAACAGCAGCAAAGATGGCAGTGGAGAGGTAGCAGACAGGCTACCTACGCTTGTGGTCACCAGCTGGAAAGTAAAAGTGGTCTGCTGCCAGATGGCCCACAGCTGAATTAAACTTGACATGTTGGAATTATGAAACTGCATTTTTCATGGGTGAGTTCTTGAGCCCCTTGGAGGGGGTGTGGGGGGGGGGGGGGGTGAACATATCCACTGCTACCCTAACAGGCATGTCATAAAAGGCAGCTAACAGATAAAGATTGTTGCTGGTATGGATGTATTGTGCCAAAATGTGCAACTCTTGCTGCCTTTTTAAAGACGACAGAGAAGGCACTGCGTTCTCTAAGTTCCAGATACTGATTCCTTTAGTGTGTACACTGATCGCTTTTAATGTGTACACTGATCCCTTTAGTGTGTACACGGATCCCTTTTGTGTGTACACTGATCCCTTTAGTGTGTACACTGATTCCTTTAGTGTGTACACTGATCCCTTTAGTGTGTACACTGATTCCTTTAGTGTGTACACTGATCCCTTTAGTGTGTACACTGATCCCTTTAGTGTGTACACTGATTCCTTTAGTGTGTACACTGATCCCTTTTGATGTGTACACTGATCCCTTTAGTGTGTACACTGATTCCTTTAGTGTGTACACTGATTTGAACCCATAGAGTGGAAATAATAACACAATAATAACACAAGTTCTTAGTGTGTTTTTGTTGTTGTTAAAAGAAAAACAGTTATAATACTTGACCAAGTCTGCCTGTTCATTACCTTCTATGCCGGCATAGCCTAGAGAAAAGAAAAGAATGTAGTAGTAGAGAAAAGTTTGCTCACTACCTGTGACCTTTCCACTGAAGTTTGCCACTTTGCTCGTTGCATCCCTGTCTTCATTCTCAGCATTCTTTCAGAGTCTGTTACAATTAAAACATGTGTATGCATCTTGTTCTCTAGCCACCGGAGAGGTGCAGTTACCGCCTCCACCTCCATTCTCATGCTAGATGTTGTGATGCCATTTGCTAGGCTGTCTTGCACTAAAGCTTTCGCTACGAACCCCCAGGCACTTCTCTTTCCTCTTAACACCGAACCGTCTGTATAGATAATCACATCACCTGGGCGTGAATTGTCGTGAATCAGCTGTTGGACTGATATAGAAATGATTGCAAAGGAATGGTGGAATTGATTGGGACCCTTATGTGGCGAATTATGTCATAATATAATAAAATAATGATAATGATAAGGATGACGACGAGGATAATAATGATGATTTTGTTGTTGTCCGACAGTTGTACTCAATGCTGGACATCAAGGAAGTGGTGCCGGAGTTTCAGAGACATCAGAAAATGGAGCACTGCATTGTTCTCAACCTTAAGGCAGATAAAATCATCATCACCTCGCCCGTAAGTTGTCACACTTTTCTGTCTTCATGTCCACTTGTCTTCTAGCTGGTCTGCCATATCTTTGCATCATCACAACCTCACCCGTAAGTTGTCACACTTTTATGTCTTCCTGTCCACTTGTCTTCTTGCTGGTCTGCCATATCTTTGCATCATCATCACCTCGCCCGTAAGTTGTCACACTTTTCTGTCTTCCTGTCCACAAGTCTTCTTGCTGGTCTGCCATATCTTTGTACTGGAACCCACAGGGGCATAGGAATAAAGGAAGACCAAAAACCACATGGAGAAGGGAGCTGGAGAATTAAGTTATAAAGATGGGGAGGACATGGGGAGAGCTGTATGCGATAGCAAAGGATATAACTACTTGGCAGGAGTTGATTGAGAGTCTATGCTCCACTGGGGTTCGAAAGGTGGAAGAAGGAGATCATATGGTCACTTCTTTCTTTCTGTTTTTCTTCTTCTTGCAAACAGAAGATGAAGAATGTTAGTGACTTCTTGTCTGAGATGGCAGATCACTGGCTTACCGCTGAGAATGTTAGTGACTTCTTGTCTAATATGGCAGATCGCTGGCTTACCATTGCCACTGAGAATGTTAGTGACTTCTTGTCTAATATGGCAGATCGCTGGCTTACCATTGCCACTGAGAATGTTAGTGACTTCTTGTCTAATATGGCAGATCACTGGCTTACCGTTGCCACTGAGAATGTTAGTAACTTCTGGTCTAATATGGCAGATCACTGGCTTACCGCTGAGAATGTTAGTAACTTCTGGTCTAATATGGCAGATCACTGGCTTACCACTGAAAATGTTAGTAACTTCTGGTCTAATATGACAGATCACTGGCTTACCACTGAAAATGTTAGTAACTTCTGGTCTAATATGGCAGATCACTGGCTTACCGCTGAGAATGTTAGTGACTTCTTGTCTAATATGGCAGATCACTGGCTTACTGCTGAGAATGTTAGTGACTTCTTGTCTAATATGGCAGATCACTGGCTTACCGCTGAGAATGTTAGTGACTTCTGGTCTAATATGGCAGATCACTGGCTTACTGCTGAGAATGTTAGTGACTTCTGGTCTAATATGGCAGATCACTGGCTTACCGCTGAGAATGTTAGTGACTTCTTGTCTAATATGGCAGATCACTGGCTTACTGCTGAGAATGTTAGTGACTTCTGGTCTAATATGGCAGATCACTGGCTTACCGCTGAGAATGTTAGTGACTTCTGGTCTAATATGGCAGATCACTGGCTTACTGCTGAGAATGTTAGTGACTTCTGGTCTAATATGGCAGATCACTGGCTTACCGTTGCCACTGAGAATGTTAGTGACTTCTGGTCTAATATGGCAGATCACTGGCTTACTGCTGAGAATGTTAGTGACTTCTTGTCTAATATGGCAGATCACTGGCTTACCGTTGCCACTGAGAATGTTAGTGACTTCTTGTCTAATATGGCAGATCACTGGCTTACCGTTGCCACTGAGAATGTTAGTGACTTCTGGTCTAATATGGCAGATCTCTGGCTTACTGCTGAGAATGTTAGTGACTTCTTGTCTAATATGGCAGATCACTGGCTTACCGTTGCCACTGAGAATGTTAGTGACTTCTGGTCTAATATGGCAGATCACTGGCTTACCGTTGCCACTGAGAATGTTAGTGACTTCTTGTCTAATATGGCAGATCACTGGCTTACCACTGAGAATGTTAGTGACTTCTGGTCTAATATGGCAGATCACTGGCTTACCACTGCCACTGAGAATGCAGTGTACTTATGCAGTATGGCATGTAAAGTGCCTGCTTTTGTAATTGACTGCTTGCATCAACAGTGAGCTGCAATTCTGGTTTAGGACATTTAGTGATGGCACATCTGCCTTATGAATTAATATTGCATGTGCAAACTTAGTGACTTTAGATTCAGCTGGGACTGACAGTTTTTCCACTGGTTTTCCACTTGGACAGTGGCGGACATTTTGTGTGATTTCCACTAGCGCAGGAACGCAGCAGTTGTGGGTGCCGCTTGTCTGCAGTGATGTTGAAACGGTGACTTAACGACTTAACGACTGAGAAAGTTAGAATTTCGCCTGGGCAATCTTTTATAAATGTATTTATACCTGAATTTGTTTGTAAGTATACAGTTTATATTATGTATGAGTAAAGTTGTGTTGAGTTTCATAAACCAACATCACAGTACTCGGGCATTCCCATTTGTGGTAGGCCCCCCACCCTCCCCCCCCCATCTTGAGCAACCAGTAAAGAGCCCTAACTGCGATGGTACCTGTAGCGGTCTGCCTGTGTGTCCGGCTTGCGTATCCTCTGAGTAGAGGGGTCAGCCAGATCCTCTGGTCACTCCCTGTTGCATTATTCTCTTCAGAACGTCTGAATCTAATTGTGCCTTACATTGTTTTCAAAAGACCTTGACCACAACCAGCTTGTTGTACATCAGTTGACCACCAAGTGGTGCAGAACCAGCCAGTCTATCTGGCTGTTCATTTTCCAACACCCCTGCCTACCCTGGAGAAAATATCCAGTGGACTCTTAACTACTCTGGACCTCTAAAGCGATGCGTGCCACTCTGCTGGGAGCATACCTGTCTCCACCTTTCTCATACCTGTCTCTACCTTTCTCATACCTGTCTCCACCTTTCTCATACCTGTCTCCACCTTTCTCATACCTGTCTCTACCTTTCTCATACCTGTCTCCACCTTTCTCATACCTGTCTCCACCTTTCTCATACCTGTCTCCACCTTTCTCATATATGTCTCTACCTTTCTCATACCTGTCTCCACCTTTCTCATATCTGTCTCCACCTTTCTCATACCAGTCTCCACCTTTCTCGTACCTGTCTTCGCCTTACTCACACCTGTCTCCACCTTTCTCATATATGTCAATACCTTTCTCATACCTGTCTTCGCCTTTCTCATATATGTCAATACCTTTCTCATACCTGTCTTCGCCTTTCTCATATATGTCAATACCTTTCTCATACCTGTCTTCGCCTTTCTCATATATGTCAATACCTTTCTCATACCTGTCTTCACCTTACTCACACCTGTCTCTACCTTTCTCATATGTCTCCACTTTCTTATACCTGTCTCTACTTTTCTCATACCTGTCTCCACCTTTCTCATACCTGTCTTCGCCTTACTCTCACCTGTCTCCACCTTTCTCACACCGGTCTCCACTTTAATATAAAGTTTATTTGTCATATATACAGTTTAAATGGACACAAATATTTATTTATGTGCATTTGTCTGTCTGTGTGCCAGGACAAGGTATTAATCAACCAGTGGAAGGATGAGATCATTCAAGGCTTCAACCTGTCCACTCAGATCATGTCCATGATGAACAAGAAAGCCAGCAAGTTGTATGGCTCCGACATCCCAGGGTCGCCCAGCATGGAGAGTCTACGAAACCCCCTGGAACATCGTAACAGCAACGGCAATGGCAGTAGTTAGCTTTTTAATGCCTCTCTGTCGCTCGCTACCCTTTGACCCTGGAAGTACCGAGAGTGTGGTCCACATGCAGGTGCTCAGTGCCTGCTTGTTTGATTCTGGCTATCAGAGATTGTGTACTAATAATAGACAGCTTTAAATGCTGACCAGTCACAGGTTTTCTTCTAAAGGAATGATGGGATAGCTGTAAGGAAATAGTTTGGACTCAGGAGGAAGTGTTGTTTGAACTTTGATCTCTATATTCCCCCCCCCATGAATGTTTTCATGGGGTGAAGCAGACAAATTGTTGATTGGTTTTGTTGACCATACAAGAAGTGTCACAGCACAGTTTCTGGAAGGTAGTGACCATGAAGAATTTGATCTTTGATCAGAACTTTTCAGTAGAGGATTTCACAGGTAGCGAAAGTGATGTTTTTCTCAAGATCTTTAGCATAGGGTTGTATGAGAGTCAGGGGGAAACAGCTGTGACATTTTGTGCATTTTTTTGACTGCATTTGTTTGTTGACTGGATACTATGTATGAATGAGTGCCTCAACTAATGGATGTACCATATTTCCCCAGATATAAAACTATCTCGTGAGTAAAGCGCACCCTGTTTTTGGGGAGAATGAAATTTTGTGATTACAAATTTGTATAAGATGAGCACTGTTTTTAGACCCCATGTTTTTGAAAAATAATGTGCGTCTTATACTTGGGGACATACGGTGTCTGTGAATTGATAAATTGTAATGTATGAATGAGAAAAAAGACAAAGGAGTAGAGTGATAAATGGGCAGATTTTAATACGTGAATGAATGCATAAGACAAATGAGTAAATTATGGATTGGATAAATGTATTCGTGTGTGAATGAGTACATAGACAAATGGGTAAATTAGTGAACGGATAAATGTATTCGTGTGTGAATGAGTACATAGACAAATGGGTAAATTAGTTAACGGACAAATATATTTGTGTGTGAATGAGTACATAGACAAATGGGTAAATTAGTTAACGGATAAATGTATTCGTGTGTGAATGAATACATGGACAAATGGGTAAATTAGTTAACGGATAAATGTATTCGTGTGTGAATGAGTACATAGACAAATGGGTAAATTAGTTAACGGAGAAATGTATCCGTGTGTGAATGAATACATAGACAAATGGGTAAATTAGTTAACGGATAAATGTATTCGTGTGTGAATAAGTACATAGACAAAGGGGTAAATTAGTTAACGGATAAATGTATTCGTGTGTGAATGAATACATAGACAAATGGGTAAATTAGTTAACGGATAAATGTATTCGTGTGTGAATAAGTACATAGACAAAGGGGTAAATTAGTTAACGGATAAATGTATTCGTGTGTGAATAAGTACATAGACAAATGGGTAAATTAGTTAACGGATAAATGTATTCGTGTGTGAATAAGTACATAGACAAAGGGGTAAATTAGTTAACGGATAAATGTATTCGTGTGTGAATGAGTACATAGACAAAGGGGTAAATTAGTTAATGGATAAATGTATTCGTGTGTGAATAAGTACATAGACAAATGGGTAAATTAGTGACTGGTGTGTGAATGAGTGCCTGTAAAAATGGGTATATTGGTGAATGGATACACTGGGGATGTGTGGTTAAATATGTTGATGGAAAAGTATGTGGTTGATACAAATATATATTGGTGAGTAGGTATGTACATCTGTAAAGTGATAAATGTTACTGGTAAATCAAAAGCAACATAGGTAGATTTCAGGCTGAATATATTGGTGCATTTTGATGACTAAATGGGCTTGCTTTTTGATTAGTAAAATCACAAACACTTCAAGTAATTCACTGAAAAGGCTAGCCTCTGGATTCTTTCTTTTTAATTTTGTATGCTCAGGTCAGACCATCAGATGGGTTGCCCCTGTGAACTTGTATGCTCAGGTCAGACCATCAGGTGGGTTGCCTCTGTGAACCCATATGCTCAGGTCATACCATCAGATGGGTTGCCTCTGTGAACTCATATGCTCAGGTCAGACCATCAGATGGGTTGCCTCTGTGAGCTCATGCTCAGGTCAGACCATCAGATGGGTTGCCTCTGTGAACTCATGCTCAGGTCAGACCATCAGATGGGTTGCCTCTGTGAACTCATGCTCAGGTCAGACCATCAGATGGGTTGCCTCCATGAACTCGTATGCCCAGGTCAGACCATCAGATGGGTTGCCTCTGTGAACTCATATGCTCAGGTCAGATCATCAGATGGGTTGCCTCTGTGAACTCATGCTCAGGTCAGACCATCAGATGGGTTGACTTTGTGAACTCATATGCTCAGGTCAGACCATCAGATGGGTTGCCTCTGTGAACTCATGCTCAGGTCAGACCATCAGATGGGTTGCCTCTGTGAACTCATGCTCAGGTCAGACCATCAGATGGGTTGCCTCCATGAACTCGTATGCTCAGGTCAGACCATCAAATGGGTTGCCTCTGTGAACTCATATGCTCAGGTCAGACCATCAGATGGGTTGCCTCTGTGAACTCATGCTCAGGTCAGACCATCAGATGGGTTGCCTTTGTGAACTCATATGCTCAGGTCAGACCATCAGATGGGTTGCCTCTATGAACTCATGCTCAGGTCAGACCATCAGATGGGTTGCCTCTATGAACTCAAGCTCAGGTCAGACCATCAGATGGGTTGCCTCTATGAACTCAAGCTCAGGTCAGACCATCAGATGGGTTGCCTCTATGAACTCAAGCTCAGGTCAGACCATCAGATGGGTTGCCTCTGTGAACTCATATGCTCAGGTCAGACCATCAGATGGGTTGCCTCTGTGAACTCATGCTCAGGTCAGACCATCAGATGGGTTGCCTCTGTGAACTCATGCTCAGGTCAGACCATCAGATGGGTTGCCTCCATGAACTCGTATGCTCAGGTCATACCATCAGGTGGGTTGCCTCTGTGAACTCATGCTCAGGTCAGACCATCAGATGGGTTGCCTCTGTGAACTCATGCTCAGGTCAGACCATCAGATGGGCTGACTTTGTGAACTCATGCTCAGGTCAGACCATCAGATGGGTTGCCTCTGTGAACTCATGCTCAGGTCAGACCATCAGATGGGTTGCCTCTGTGAGCTCATGCTCAGGTCAGACCATCAGATAGGTTGCCTCCATGAACTTGTATGCTCAGGTCATACCATCAGATGGGTTGCCTCTGTGAACTCATGCTCAGGTCAGACCATCAGATGGGTTGCCTCTGTAAACTCATGCTCAGGTCAGACCATCAGATGGGTTGCCTCTATGATCTCCCATGTCAGCTGCAGGTCCTACATAAGCCTCTGGATTCATCATCATCATCAAGTGCTGCTGACTGGCACAGGTGATCATGCCTCTCCACAACCTGCAAATATCTCCAGCAAAAAAGTTTATCTCAAGCAGCATGTATCAGTTTAGGTACTGAAACCACTCCAGTTTCAAGGCTCTTCTGCTGTCGTCTTCCTCTGTCTTTCGACAATTCAATTCAGTGGACACAGCATGTTCCAGTTTCCTTTGCATAATCTTCTTCTTCTTCTTCAGCATTCCGAGCCCTTAAGGTTCATTGCTGCAGATATCACCCCCCTCCAATAATTTCTCTGGCTGGCCTTCTCTTTTTAGCTGGTGACGCCAGATGTTTGCTGGTTTGCCTGGACATGATCTCTTCATTGTCTGCCTCATGGTCTGTGTGTATACAGTTTTTAACCTCTCTGTCATCTGACGTTCTCTCAATATGCCTCAGCCATTATATGTTCCAAATCTAAAAATCCTTTAACGTTCCAGTTTTGCTGTCTGTTTAAATTTATCCTAAACTGAGGCTTAGATATTTATTTCTTGTAGAAGAGAAGTTTTACATAATGTGACCAAAAAATTATGACTGTCTCCTTCTGAGTGATGTGTGTTAAGACAGGAAAAAATACATGATGTATTGACTGTGATGGTATTTGATGTTGTTGCATTCTAATGAGATGGCCAAACCACTTCGCTGATGTTTCTCGATAAATCTAGTACAAGGTGTCAATCCTACAAATTGACTGATAATGTTATTCACTCGATCTTGGATGGTTAGGTTGGCAGCTTTTCTCAGGCATCTCATCTCGCAAGTGCTGATTTTGGTCACATGAGCTTTAGATATTGTCCATGTATGGCACTGGTAGCTTAATGTTGGAATGAATATGCTGTTTATAATGATGAAGATAATGGTGACCCCCCAAAAATTGATATATTGTCTCCCCAATGAAGTTTGGCTACAGTGTCTTTGGGAATGTTCTGTGGTGAAGCCCCAATATCTTCCACTGTGAAACTCTCTTACTGTTTTCTGAAACCCAACAATGTTTATTATTGATTTATTTGTTCACCTTCCGCCATGGGAAATAAACCCGAGTGTTTGAGGACCTTGAAATTGTTAACCACGTCCGCTAACCTCTAAGTCACAGGGCCATACTTTTATGTTGATAAAGACAGAACAAAAACAGATATAGAATCTCACCTGTTTGTATAGTTTTGATTTGAAGTATAATCTCGGTTGTAAGTGTGAAAGGGAAAGCAGTGTGGAGGAGATGATCTGTGCTGGTGTGATAGCAATGGAGAGAGCTACTTGCTGTGGAGTTGGTGGAGCACCTGTGCTTCATGGAGTGATACAGGGCAGAACAGTAGAGAAGATCACATGTTACTTGTGTGTAGAGACTAGATGTGAAGTTTGTTTGTTTGTTTTAGTATCCAGAAGCCATGAGTTGTTAACCCTTAGGCTCGGCATTATGGATATCGCAACCTTTCGGCCTTGATAACATTTTAAAAACCGTAAATCTGGGAAAGATGTGGCTTTTCTGCCCACCCCGGGAGTGAACCCGGACCACAAGGAGTTCGTCACCCGCTCACCGCGCAATCCGGTTCAGCCAACTACGCTAGAGAGACGGACAGATGTGAAGTTAAATTGTGTGAAAAGACTGGATGTCATGGATAATGTATATTTGCATGATAGGAAGTTGTGTGCATAGGCTTGATGTGAAGT